ATCTGGTTCTCTGATAAATTTCGAGAGAGCCTATTCTCACAGGTTGCTTTCCCAGGCACCTTGGCAATGGTCAGATCATTTTCTGATTTGCTTCTCGTATCATCCTTCTTCCCTTTATGCTGCTCTAAACTACCTCTACCACCCTCTGAAAAACCTCGAAATTTTGTACTCAAATAGGATCTGTTGTTCGCGTTGATCTTGGCTACCTCGTTGTCCAGTAAGGTCTCCTCTTTGTTTTGCTGATCAGATTTACGAACTTCCCGCCTAGGTCGTTTGTTTCTCATAGCGACCAGCTGATCCTCCCTTCGTTTTCGAAACTCTCTGCTGCGTCTAGTACGAGCTTGACGGTCCGAATCGTTCGCATCCGATTCAGTGATGTTCTGAACATCGTCCGTCTCGTCTGTGTTTACCGTAAAATCCGTTTTCTCCGCGGTTGTATCCTCCTCCGGATCGTTGCAGGAATGTTGCATCTTCTGAGCATTCTCCTCCACTACTTGCATCTTCGTGCTGATATCAACACTTTCTCTGCCAGACGACAACAGCTGTCCTTTCTCTGACTTTTTAGTTTTGTCCCGAGCCCTTAACACTCTTCTCTTATCGTCCCCGAAGGAAGACTTTTGTTCCACTATTGGACTGTCAGACTTCTCGGTTTCTTCCTTAGTTACAGTTGTTTCACCGTCCTCCGAGTTGCTGATCATCGACGAAGCACTTTTCGTTTCTTCAGCCTCGCGAGGAGCATCAGATAATTGAACATTATCGGTAGTAGCAACGTGCTTGTATTTGTCATTGTCATCAGCAGGATTGGGACTTATACTTTGCGAATTCCGTACCTCTTCTGAACTTTCATCAGTTTCAACTTCTTTAATATTCTCTGCTACCTTATCATTTTCCAATCTATCAGACACATCTGGATCATCTGTTTTTGTAACAGTTATTTCTTGCTTATCAATATCTACTGTTAATTCATTGGGACTACTCGAAGATGAAGAGGACTCTGATTCTTGATTCTTTTCTACATCTTTTTTATCTGTTTCTAAGTCAGACTGATCGCTTGTTATTAATTTCTCTACTTCTTTAGAAATACTCTCCAGAGTCTCTACATCTTCGGATATTGTAGTAACATTTACAGAATCTTCATCTTTAGCAGTTACATCAGTTGTTGATTTTATAGATTTATTTTCAAGTGAATCACTGGGTGAAATTGTTTCCTCGGAAGCAGATTTATTTACATCGACCGTATGAGATTCACAGCTTTCAAGTGGCTGAACCGTTTTATTTGTTACTTTGTTTAATTTTTTGGCAGATTCATTGTTTGCACTTTCAGAAGAACTCTTATCAGCTGTTATTCTTGACGATTTTCTAGTAGAGACTACTTTTTTATCATCGTCCAATACCTTTACTTGTTCGTCTATTGGTTGCTCTATACTCTTTACAGATTCTTCGGTTACATCAGAGTTTTCACGTGGCTCTTCCAGCTGAAGTATTATTTCATCTTCACTGTTTTCTGTAACATGCACAACCTCCGACACGTTATGCGGATTACTACTTGCATCAATGTCAGAAGATTCGTTTTCCGGTGTATTTTGTGAATGTGTCTCTGCTGTTTCAATATCACCCATGACTAGTTTTTCAATTTCTTTGGCAGTATCAGCCACTTTTGGTACTGAATTTTCTGAACTGTCCGATTTGATCTCATTCTTAGAAATGGTGGACTTATCCTCGTCTGTGTTCTCCTCTAATCCTAATTTTTGGGACTCTGCACTTAACGGTGCAATTATTTCCTCAATTTTTGGTACCTCAAAAGTTTTGTTCAATCTGTGACTCGTTTCCGGCCCAAAGATTTTTCTTTCAATAGACTTTGCAATTGTAAGCTTTATATTTTCTATCATTTGATCTATCTGAGATTTTTGATTACCATCAGATTTTTCAGTACTATAAAATGAATTTACTGTCTTCTTCATGTCTATGTTTAAACTACTCCTTCTACTCGATTTATCAGATAATTTTGCTAAAATATTATCCTTTCTAACTTGATCTAAATTGCCGGATTTCTTTAATTCCTCCTGTATTTCTGCAACCTTAGGTATTATTCTCGAATATTCAATTTTTATATTGTCATTCTTTATTTCAATTTCTGTACTTTTGGCTTTTGTTTTTGAGCGCAGAGTGGGCCCCACTTCATTAGCCCTGTCCGATCGATCACCGTTATTATTGTTCTCTATTTCTGCTTCGGTTAGTGAATTTTCTTCAAAACTCTTTAATGTTTCTTGCTTTGGAGAGGATTCATCTTTGGTTATTATTATAACCGTTTGCGAATCATTACCGCTAGATTCAGAAAAACAAGATTCCGTATCTATATTACCATTTGTAATATTATCTGCCGAAACTTCTAAACTAACAGGATCATCGGAATTTAATCTTTTACGTTTCTTCAGTTCCAAATCAGCGGAGACACCGGAATCTGACTGTCGTAGCTTCCCATTTCTTAAACTTCTTTGGCCACCCGAAATATTCAATCTTTTTCTTAATTGTATTGCACCTTGAAAGGATTCTGCTTCCAAGTTCTCTCCATCAGACGTAATTTTGATGTCTTCATTGTCCGGTTCCTTTTTAATTTCAATATCTGAAAGTAGATTTTCCTCTACCAGCATTTTCCTACTCCTGGTAAGTTTGCCCTCAGTTTTTTCTGTGCTCCCCTGTTGACTATCTATTTCTGAATCGCTCAACATTGAAGCTATAACTTCGTCTATAGTAAGATCTATAGAACTTTTACTATCCAAGATCGAATTTGGAAATTTTGTGTCAGGTATAGATGTCCTTGTGCTATTGTAATCTGTATCCTTACTATTACTTTTCCTTCCCTTTGTACACTTGATATCACCTTCTATATTTTTTATACAGTTATCTTTCTCTTTGATATTGTTTTTTTTTAATCCAGAAAGCTTTGTTGCCTTAGCACTTTTAGATAAAGAATCTGGACTCTCAGAGCTTTTTCCTTTTCTGTTAAGTTTTGGACTGTTTTTAGTACTGGATCCAGCGGCTGAATCTGTATCTTTATCTTGAGTATCCTCGTTTTCGACTTCTCCACTATTTTTTGGTACAAACTTGGTCTTTTTGGTCCTGAGATTGTTCTTGGCACTTCTGTTGGTAGTTTCTGTCCCTATACGTTCACCTTCCGTGTCTAAATGATTTTCTAAAATTCTCGAGTTAATATCTGATGTCTTAACACTGTTTACCTCAGACAATTTAACTCTTTTAGTCCTCACACCTTTCTTGATGTCAGAAGTTATTCTACACAAATTTCTATTTGTTACTTTCCTTGTAACTTTAGACTTGATGAGATTCGCCTTTGCTACTCTTAATTTTTGTTTACGTTTAAGATTCCTAAGAACCTTCTTACGCGGTAGACTTGCTTCCAATTTCGGAGGAAGCTGACTTCCGGTTGCTACAGCTTCCAAAATATTTCTTGCAATTTGCTGTTGTTTCAGATTTGACAAAGACTTGCCTTTTCTATTCTTAATTTCATTCGATGGCAAACCACAATCATTATTCGCCTTCTGTTTTGCTTTGGAAGGCGCTAAGGGTTTCTTTTCCCTGGATGCCATCTCACTTCCACCCACATTGGGCTCCTGCAATTTCATTTGTAACATGAAATTGCATGCCATTTATTGACCAAAAAGTAACTATTATCATTGCAGTATTCAAAATAATTTTTCAATAATTTTCCTAATGAAAAAATGAATATAGATTTTAAAAATAAAAAAATATATAATGCAACTATATGCATTTTCTGAAAAATGATAATATATTTACTATCGTGAGAACATTTGAAAAAATTAAACTATTCTATGAAAATATTTTAAAAAGTAACAATAATAATAATAATAAGGCAATTTTTTAAAGAAACGATAACACAACATCATGTTGAAAGTGTAATTTAAGAGCAAGTACCTTTCCTCTATCAAGCAAGACAGGAACAAACTGACTGTACACCAAGTGGAAAAACTACATAATTCGTCTTTAGGTGTGAGTAGATGAGTGGCCAGCCGAAGAGTGGGGTTGATAGATGCGGCCCTGGCGGTCAGAAAAATTACGTGACAAACTTTGCATTTACACGGATACACAGAGCGCCTCTTCTCTATCAGGGAATCGCTTTGAAATATTTACTGCAATATCTTAGCGATCGTTTCCTCGATCGTGACAAATTTAATCTCAAAAGAAAGGCCGTGTTATATATTAACTTCCAAGAAGGAAAGCATGGGGTTGACCAGGCGAGAAGTATGAAAAATCATGCAACAAATTATCGCGAAAAAATCGCCACGAATAAACAAAAGGTCGGACTCGATTCGAGATTTCCAAGGTTTAATATGTGGTTGGTAGAATTGCATCGATAATATTTATCAATCGAATATTCGATTCATCGATTGTACTCACCTCTGAGGCGAAAAATCACCGTCAAAGAGCGTAGTTTTTGCGGGAAAACGCGGAAAACAATTCTGTGAAAAACACAGTCCCGTTGCAGGGTGCCTGTACGATGTCCCACTGTTTTGAGACTACCGCCACCTGACGGTAGAACATACGACCTCTCCCAGGTCCATAGTCCATTCGTACTAATTCATTGCATTATTTCAGCGAATTCAACCCCTAAACGCTTTATACGAACAAGTATTTCTGGTACACTCACTTTTATAGAAACTCGTGTTTACTCACGAGACAAAAATCTTTCAGAAATCTCTAGCCGATACGCGATGATCCTCTAGCGAAAATCGGAGCAACGCGGCACTTCGAAATCTATACAGTATTTGTAATAACTAACCCCGCGTTATTTGTCCGATTTTACGATATTACGATTACTTGGTGATACGTTCGTCTATTAGGATCATAAGCAAGTGTGACGATGTTTCTTGCAAAAACAAAAAATGCTAGAAATACAAGCTTGTCGCGAAGAAAAACTCGATCTGGCACGAGAACGAAAAGGAAGACGCGCCCGTGCGCACCAATGGCGGCCACCGACCCTTATTTACTGAAGTCAAAATGGCTGCCCTTCGGCTTTTCACACGCTCCAGACCTTTAATGATTATTATACAAGATTCTGGTCAATTTAAATCGTTAAATAATACTTTACCGAATATCTTTCAGGTATTATATATTGATATACGTTATTTTTTTATCATCTCGTGAGAAATAGTACGCATTTCTGTGTTGTCATAATTACTTGAAGACGAAGTAACGAAGGGCCATGCTGACATAGTTGTTAGGTCGTTGATTTTTATTTAATTTTAACTGGAAGAAATTTATCTACTTTTTTAAAGGAAAACTGTACGTACAATTGACATGATATCTTACAACAAGCATTTAAATATCAAGAAAGCAGAGATGCGATAAAATAATGAAAATATTACAGTGAATTCTTCGATAGCACTTTAAAATACAGTGCAATATGAAGTGTACGCCATATTATTCTAATGTTGAATAAAAAAAAGTTACTTGAACATTTTTGTTAAGACTGAATTAGTTTCCGAGAATAAACTGAACTTTGTATATTAATGAAACTAATATTTACTCAATTTTATATGTATAACCTAAAAGTATAATATGTACATATGTACTAAAACAAACTGTAACTGATGGTGAAATTTTATGAAACTAATTAAGATAGCTTCAAATATCAATGTTAATGCTATGTCAAAATTATTTCAGAAGTGCTTATACGTTTTTATTCATAATAGGTGCATAAAAGATGGGGAAGCTATAGAACAGCTCCTAAATGTCAAGATCCTGCGCAATATACAGATTATGAGGTAACAAAGGATCCAGAGGAATGGAAATATGTAGAATCTCTGCTTAAACATAAAACCATACCTGTCCCTTCTTTTGAAAAGAAAGAGTATCCATCGGGATGGAAACCACCTGTTTGTAAGTTGCATTTAGTATTATTAAAGTATCGTTTTACAATTTGTGTTTATAAGTAGTTATAAGCTGAATATATTACATATGTATTGAAGATATAACTTCAATTATTTAACAGCAAACCCAGGGGATTACCCTTACTATATACCCAGGACAAAAAATTATATGCAACCTATTTATCTTGAGATTACGTTCCGAGGAACACGACGGGTAACTGTACTTCGCAAAATTCAGGGAGATATTTGGAAACTGAAATCTGAATTAACAAAATATTTACACGTAAATACGAATAAACCAATTGGTGTACGAGTAAATGAACTTATAGGGGAAATTCGATTCAGAGGAGATTATGTGACTCTCGTTAAAAACTGGTTAGATGAAAAGGGATTTTAAATTCTTTAACATTCATCCTTACAAGCATTTGTTACAAATATATAACGCACGTCCTGTTATCACGATAGTTTTATTACAAGGTAAAAATAAATAATGGAAACATTAATTTATATTTTTAAGTATTTGGCATTTAATATTTATTTTCCAAATATTGTTAAATAGTAACGCGAAACTTTAAAAATGTGAATTTTATTTTAATAGTAAAAAATCAACACCTTTTTTGTAAAAATATGCATTATATTTAAAATTAAATTTCTCACAAACTAGTATAGAGAATGAATCGTGGGTGTAACAACTGATTAAAATGAAGGTGTTACAATGTATTTATACTTTATATTCTTGTCTTGATGCTTAATAAATTATGAATTGTGATATATGGTTTTCTGTTAAACAGTAATTTCTTAATTTTATTAAATTATCTGAATTTATATATATATTTCACATATATTAAAACACTTCATAAATTAAATAATTTAATATGGTTATACAAAATAGAAATTTCTAAGAACGCTCGAACCAAAAAAAGTATGTTGTTTATCCCTCTAAAGATTAAAATCTTACATCAAACTATAGTATTTATTCGATGTTACACGAACTCCAAATATCACATTTGATTCATATCACTATACCAAAAATGCATTAAAAGTAGTTTCAATAAGGTATTTCAAATGTGACACATTGAACTTAAAAGCATCAAGTTACACAATAGAGACCTACTTATAGAAAGGAACATTTTTTTCTTCTTTTTTTTCTTTTTTAACCATCCTATTCAGTACAGGATTCTAAAGGTTTGCATGTAAAGTTCGATGATGTTTTATCAGTTTTTTTCACGTTTATTTCATGCGAACAAAGTGTTCTGTTTAATAGTAAGCATATGGCAAAATTTTACTTGAAAACTTTTCCCTGATTAAATTTACGTCCCTCTTTATCAGTGCCGGTCCAGCTGAAGTACTGTTGAACTAGTTGTTTCGTTTCTTCTTTAGCCGGATCCAAGTTGGTCCAATGGTATGATTCATAATCTACTTGCCAGTCCGGGCATAACTTATGGGAAAAGAAGGACAAAAAACAACAAAGAGCGGTTATTATATTTCTAACTATAAATCAGAAAAAAAAGAAACATTAAATATTTAAAAGAATGACTAACTGTGAAAGCAAGTTCTTGTCCACGCCAAACCCAAATACCACTGATGCTACTGTCATTGTCTGTACCAAACAAACAAGCACTAGCGAACGCGCCCTTTCGCATCTTGTCTAATCGTTGAAACATTCCGCTTATTAAATTGCAAGACATGAAAACCTGAAATAAAAATATAGTATACGAGAATATACAAATACTTGTTACTATATCATGAATCAATCATTTCTATTTTACCTTTGTTAATTCATTGTTATACTTGTATTCACCAAGCCAAATACTGTAATGTTTTGGATCAAACTTCTGCCAAAAATATGGTATCGACTTTGATTCATCTTCGTTCGAATAACATCTCTTAAAGTCATCAAGATCAAAAGTTCCTTTAGGTAATGTATCAAAAGGATTTGTAGTTTTAGGTTCGGCAGCCAAAACAGCATCTGCTGGATCTAGATCTTCGGTAGCCTCCTTTTTAGATTCTTTTGCTTCTTTTGATTCTTTCTTGGATTCCTTTTCTTTCTTTTCCTTCTTTGAGGACTGTAAAATATTTCAATGATTATTATGATGTAAAGTATAAATATTTTTTTTAGGAAGTAACACTAATACCAACTTTTCCTTGTGTTTCTGCAAACTTCTTTGGATCATATTCAAGAGTTTTTTCAGCCAATTTGAAGGCCCCAATGACAGCCATTGACTCTGGCTGATAAATAACAGTTTGAAACCATCGATTTACGTTCTGGTACGGTTTGCGTAAGTTTGGTTCAAGAATATATTGATATAAATGAAGTAATGTCATAGCTACACTAATGTCGGCTAATGTCAGTCGTTCTCCGACTAAGTAAGTACGTGTAAGTAAATGGGAGTTAAGGGCAGTCAATGCTTTTTTCACATCATCTTTAGCATGTTCTACATTCTGAAATATTAATTCATAAGATCAAATTTTAATAAAAAATATAATAACCAACAATGTATATTTGTATGCACCTTATTGGACACATACGAAAAATCGTATGTGTTCGAGTAACATGCTAATATTCATATACCTCCAAGAGTTACAAAAACAGTGAGAATCTCCACTATTTTTGCCTTTGAAGGAGGAGTAATTAAGATAACTAACATATTATTAATTCTAATTATACCTGTTTATTATATGGCATAATTCCAAGCAATGGAAATACCCATGCACAACTAGCTGGAAGAATTTCAGAATCTGCAAACCCAAACCATTGAATGATTTCTGCACGTTCAAGATCAGTTTTACCTCTCAGCTGATCATTTGCCACTAAAAAAATAAATGTAGGTATTATATATTCAAATCAATTTTCTTTGCACTTGCAATTGATATAAGTATCAGTTTTACCATAATAAGCGATTGCATTGCTTTCTGTAATACATTTTCCATCGCCTGTTTCAAATGCTGGAACCTGTTATAAAAGATACATCTGTTATTAAATCACCAACATTGAACAATTGAACAATGAAAAACACTACACATTTTCATTTGTGATTTAACACAAAACATTTAATTATTGATACTTTTGAAAAATCGTACCAGCTGATTTATTGTTACATAGATAATATTTAAAAAAAAAAAAGTTATAAAAATATCTTGCTTACCTTGCCCAGCGGAAACTTCTTTAAAAAAGCTTCGGATTTATTTGTCTCGCCGAAAACAAAATCATCTGCTATCTTGATTTGAGCACCGGAATATTGAGCTGCAATCAGCACCTTGTAGGCTCTGAAGTTTTCCGGGTACGTGTAGAGAGTCTGAAATAAATTGAAACTCTATTAGCTGGTTTCTACATTTAATTACATTTTTGACGAACTTTGTATTTTTGTCAGTATATCATACTGTCGATGTTTAAAGGTTTGAATTGTACAACAGAGACTTACTCCGGACGCCATTATATCCAGTTACGGGAAGAGGAAGTTGAAGGCCGGTAAAGATCGTTTCTTTCGAGTGCATAAAGTCTCCGTGTCGCAATAGATACGTCCTTACAAAGTAACTGCACATTTATGCATGTATTTATAGTAAACATTTTTGCAAATAAAACGATGAAAAATTTTACGATTCAATCTAATATTGTAAATAACTTTTCAAGATTAAACTTAATTTTGTATTTTAAAAATTCGCAAGGTAACTAACGATCAGTAAAATATCATATTTTGATTGGCTGATTGACATAGAATTTATATAAACTATAAAGCATAAAGTAACGATTTATTTTGTACAAAATAGATTATTGCTTATGAAATAGATATTTTATAAAGTGTTTATTCATTAAAATTACAAATTTGTATGTGTTTCATATTTCAATGTTGCATATCTATAAGGTACATACATACTGTATGACTGGAACTTAAGTTCGAAAATGGCAGCGTTGAAGGATGTTGTTTCTTTATACAAAAATTTAAAACAAGAATGGACAGCAACTCCGTGTAACTTGAAAAAATGCGGTGAACTATTAAATCAATTAAAGGTATAAGTTTCATTTCTTTGTCATTTAAGTATTTCGGTATTATTAAATATAGCAGTATAACCTTGTTTATTGTTGGGGCTTGTTAAAATGATTTGTCATCATGTTCTAAATTCAGTAATTGATTAATATTGTTACAAAAATATTGTTATAAAAATATCAATATTGAGAGTATAATATTTTTTTATTAGCATAGAACTTATATTTATTTATATTTAGTTGTTTATTGTTAATTTAATGGAACAACTTTGACAGGTTGGACTTACCCATTTAATGTTTCTTCCAACATCAAACAGCACAGCAAGTCAAAATGAATTGCTTATTGCTCGTAAGTGTTAATATATGTAGAATATTTGGTAAAAGCTAGTTATGATATATAAAATTATTTGTTATTACAGGTGACATTTTAGAAATTGGTGCACAATGGAGTATAGTAACCGAAGATATACCTTCTTTTGAACGTTACATGGCACAATTGAAATGTTACTATTTTGATTATAAGTCAGGATTAATGGAATCTGTATACAAATATCATCTTCTTGGTTTAAACCTTTTATTTCTATTGTCTCAGAATCGAGTTGCTGAATTTCATACAGAATTAGAGTTGTTACCTTCAGATCAAATACAGTCAAATGTTTATGTCAGACATCCTCTAAGTTTAGAACAATATTTAATGGAAGGTTCATATAACAAAATATTTCTAGCAAAAGGCAATGTACCAGCGGCGTCGTATAATTTCTTCATAGATATATTATTAAATACCGTTCGTGATGAAATTGGAGCCTGCATGGAAAGTGCATATGACAAAATTTCTATTCAGGATGCTTCACGAATGTTAAATCTGAATTCAGAAAAAGACATGAAAGCATTTGCAACAAAGAAGAATTGGAACTTAGCAAAGGATGGTTACTTTTACTTCAGTACGACTAGTGAAAAGAAAACTGAAGAACCAATTCCCAGTGCAGATTTGGCTACATTAGCAATTGATTATGCGAGGGAACTTGAAATGATCGTTTAAGAAACGTGTACATTTTTCTGTATTTTATAAATAAATAAAGTTTGTCACATAATTATTAAGAACATAACTGATTCTTTATAGTGGCTACAAGTTTCACGAAAAAATTGTAATTAATGTACAGCACCTAGCATCGTACGCTCCCTCAGAGAAAATGGCGATGTGTCGCCCTCGGCATAGATTTCCCCTTCCGTTGTGATTATTCCTTTTAACATCAAACAGCAATCAAAGCTTAAAAGTGTGTTATTCAGATGCAAAGTAAAATAATTGTTATCAGTAAGTTTAATATACTTGTCAAATTAAATATTTATAATTCTTTACAGATGTTTATAATTAATTGATGTTGTAAAATTTTTGTACATATACCGCAGTTCACCAGAGTCCATAACTGCGAAAAGACCAGTTTTCGTTCTTTGCGCATCTCCAGTACGCATCTTCGCCCTGATTGGCGATACTCCCAAACGAAGTGGAAAGCGATTAGCAGAGAGCTCGTTGCGTTCCCCCACCATCTTCCAACCTGCGCGTCGCAATTATGGACTCTAGTGAACTGCGGTATACTTATTTATATACGTTACTGTGATATATTTTAGGTTATAGTACTGTCATTGTGAAGAAATCTGTCAAAATGCTTCGTGGTTACGAAGGTGTTCGATTTTTGTCAGATAAACAGATGGTCATATTTGATATTGGACATGCTTATACAAAGTACGTGTAAGTTTATTAAAAAATATTGAATATTTGATAAATTGCCATGTAATTTGACAATAGATTTGGTTATGCGGGCGAAGCTACCCCACGCGGCATTATAAGGACGGAAATTAAGTGTTCAGAGTCTAAAGAGCTTCGAAAAATTTACGATTACAAAGATACAGAAGATTTATACCAATTGCTTGTTGAATTTCTTCATGCTTTATTTTTCAGGTAATTCCTAAGTGTTTCATATTTCACCTGTATTTTGTATGTTTACTAATTTTTTATGATTTGTTATAGACATGTTGTAATATGTCCAAAAGATGCTAAAATTGTTATTTTGGAATCACCATTATCTCCAACACGATTCAGAGATACCTTAGCTAAAGTGTTGTTCCGACACTTTGAGATTGGATCTTTAATGTTATTACCGATTCATTTAGCAACTATTAGTACATTGGGTATCAACACAGCTTTAGTTTTAGATGTTGGCTATAAAGAAGCTACATTGATTCCAATTTTTGTGGGTGTACCAGTTTTAAAGGCATGGCAGGCACTTCCATTAGGTAGTCAAATTGTCCACGAGTAAGTTAAATATTTAGCAACAAATTAAGTTAATACATAATAGTTCCTTTGCGATTTTGATATCATGCTTTTTATTAATAGGTATATAATAAAATCTTTGAAGGATACATCTCCCAATATAGATGTATCAGAAAAACTTGTGGAAGATATAAAAGTAAGAACCTGTTTTGTTACTACATTAGAAAGATCTCGTAAACTAGGAACAGCAGAAGCTCCTAATCCTCCCCCAGCAGTTAAATATCCTGGGCTTAAAACTATCAATATACCTGGTGAAGTTCGAGAGAAAGCATTTGAAATATTATGGGAAAGAGACAATGATAATCTTAGTATACCTACAATGATTTTAGATGCTCTTATTCAGGTATAGTCGAAACAAGAATATTGTTGCTCGTTTATGTTTATTTTTATTATAACTTTATTTTTATAATAACTTTATTTATCGTTACAGTGTCCAATAGATACTAGGCGAATTTTGGCTGAAAATATACTACTAATTGGTGGTACAACAATGGCAAAAGGCTTTATAAGTCGTCTTAAATCTGAACTTTTAGTTCTTGTGAAGAGTAGTTTATATTCAGAGAAATTAAAAATTGAAACGTTTAAATTTCATATTGCACCTAGTAAGCCAAATTACACAGCATGGCTAGGAGGTGCTATATTCGGAACCATAGATTTGCCATTAAGATGTCTAACAAAAGAGAATTATTTAAAATCTAATAGAGTCCCTGATTGGGTTAGTTTAATAGACAATCAAACAGAGGATTCACTGACTTGTGAAATTTAAGACACTACTTCATATGTAACAAATATACTAAACATCGATTGCTGTATTTATACGTGTATATAAAATATGTAAGTATATATATTTATTGTTGATATAACTGAGACTCGTGTCACATGAATTACATAAAACAAACAGTACTGAAAATTCAAAGTGTTTTTATTCATAAAAATTGTATAAACAATTTTTTTATTTTATGTTAGAAGATTTATAAAGTTGTAAGCAATGTAAGTTTCTCATTAAGTTGAAGTTGTGTCTTTATCAGTTGAGATAGTGCAACAACCATTAATAAATCTTTCACGTTACTATTAAACATCTCATCAAATTGGTCACTTGACATTTTAGGTACAGAGTGCACCATATCTAACAGAGCACGTCCAACCTGAAATAATTTTATTTTTACAACGTCTATGTTACATAAAACATTGAAATATAAAACTAAATACATACTTGATTATCTGGTGGTTGTTTTCCACTTAATACATCATCAACATAGCCAAGCACTTGTTCTAACATGGAAGAAAGTTTAGCACTTGCTTCTGCTATTTGGGAGAGATCCATCATTGGTTCAATACCTCCACCTGTTTTTGCACCAGTTATTTGAGCATGAGCTGGCAATTGCGTTTTAGTACAAAGTTGTAAACCCACGATTTCTGGCTCGTAAGATGTAATCTAAAGAAGAAAGAATTGATCAGTACAATTTATAAAGCATACTGTACAAAATACTTGACATACCTGTACTTTAACTGGTGTGAACATAGAACCCTGTTTTCCATTTGGTACTCCTAATGGAACACATACGTAAGCTTTAATTGCCATTCTGGTAGTATTTGCTAATGTTGTGTCAACAGTCAAATGAACAGGATTATTGCATTCACGAACATAATATTCATGAATAACAGAAGAATGAGTGGTGACCTGTAAAATTTATAAAAGTAAAAGGATATTTGTTTGCAATATGTAATGTATAAGTGATGACTTTAAAAATAATTACCTCGTTTCCAGTTGCCCACCATCCAACAATATTCTCCTGAGCATTGACTCTGTGGTTCAGTTCATACAAATCAATTCCATATGTCAAATCAGCTTCAACCTGACTTTCAGATTCTTTGTGGGGCACACAGAAACAGTTTGTAACTTCAACCATTCCCTTTTCCACAGTACCTGTACAGGTTGATTTATAATGTATAAATTTTCATTTCTTTTTTTAATAAAATAGTGTCACAATATTTGCAATTGCAAATTACCTAACAACGTTCCGATAACGCGATGAGATTCAGCTTTTCGACGTTCATAGGCATCAACAACTTGAAATAAAACTACAGGATGAACTTTTACAGTAAGGTTAAGCGCCATGTTCCACAACTGTTCGCAACTTCGCAACTAAAAATTAAAAGATTAAATAGATATATATCAATAATTTAAGATTGTACATTTTTGATTAAAATTAAAGTTTTTAATTTGTCAATTTAATTAGCAACTATACAATTTAAGTTCATTACATACATTTTACAAATGAACAGGATCACACTTTTCGACATACGGCATACGGCGCCCTCAGGTACTTAAAAATTGTTTAAATGCCCAATGTCCACAGTTCACCAGAGTCCATAACTACGAAAAGACCAGTTTTCGTTCTTTGCGCATCTCCAGTACGCATCTTCGCCCTGATTGGCGATACTCCCAAACGAAGTGGAAAGCGATTAGCAGAGAGCTCGCTGCGTTCCCCCACCATCTTCCAACCTGCGCGTCGCAGTTATGGACTCTGGTGAACTGCGGTATACAAAAGTTTTTGTTGCACTGTTTACTACTAACATACAAGTTTACTATCACCAATTTATTATCCTTTAGAAGAAAATAAGTGGATAGATGTCAGATTCAAATTGAAACCCTCGATAAGAAATTATGTTTGAGGTTAATCAAAGTTTTTATGATAAAAGTAACATTATAATGTAAAAATCACATAACACATTTCGTTTTATTGTTTCAGATAAAAAATTGAAATATTTTGTTTCATGTATGTCGACAATATTGTATATACAAAACTGTAAAAAATGAGTAGTATTAAACTTGATGTACAGTGGTCTCCTGTTCATGCAAATAAATTCATTACATGGGGTACAGAAATTTGTTTATATGAAGTTATACAAGTAAAAGATAATACTAGGCAATGTGAGTATATATTGTGAAAGATATTTAATCATAGCAGAAAATTTATTGAAAGAAAGAAAGTGATTGTTGATTTTTTTCCACACAGATACAAAGATTTCTGATACTACTGTTGCTCATTTACTTGCTACAAATACAAATCATCATTATGTTAAATGTATTGATATATATCCACAGCTGGAACCAGATATTCTATTAGCTGTTGGACAAGCAAATGGAAAAGTTGTGTTAACTACTTTTGGTCCTACTATTTTTGATTCTCAAGGTCTTAGTGGAAAAGAACTAGGTAAATTATTTAAGACTTATATAAATTAAGCTACGTATATGTCATTTACATTAATAAATTATTATAGTTCCAAAACATGCAAGGCAATGTAACACAGTTGCTTGGAATCCTATAGATACAAATTTAATTGTATCTGGTTTAGATAAACATAGTAAAGATCATTCAATTTTGTTATGGGATATAAATAAAGGTTTGCAATGTGCTGAAAGAGTACATCATCATAACACAGCGCAAACAGATTCTGTAAGACCTCTTGCCGAAGTTGGTGTTTCTGAAACTATACATTCAGTAGCTTGGTTTAAACACGAGCAGAAATGTATGGTAGTTGGTGCTAATAATAAACAGTTGAAAATGATTGATTTCAGAGGTATTACTAAAGTATATAAATTCATTTATTTCAATCTAGTATGTACATTAATAAATTAATGAATTTTTTTTAGATTCTGCAAAAGTAGTGAATACAGCAGTGACTAAAGCAGTTTATAATGTATCGGTTAATCCACATAATAACTATCATTTAGTATCAAGTGTTGATAATCAGGTAACAATTTGGGATACAAGATGCTTTGAAAAGCCTGTTTTAACTTTATTCCAAGGTAGACAAATCACGAAAGTTTTATGGTGTCCAACTAGACAGAATCTTTTGGGAGCTTTACAGAAGGATTCAGGTAATATATCATTTTAATTTATGTGTATGTATATACATGTATGTACCTGTACAGGCACAAATAAATATTCATTAATATTATTTTTAATCAAGTGACATTGCATTTGTATGATATTCAACACTGTGGAATTGGAGGAGGAGAAGATACTGAACCCGGGGCATTAGAAAGGACAGTTGCACCACCATGGCATAGTCCTATAAGCTTTTCTTGGCATCCAACGCATGTGAACAGATTATTAGCAATATCTCAACAAGGTTTGATTATATTACATTGTTAAACCATATAAATAAAAAGATAAAATTGCTTAGATATATCTTTTTTAATTAAGGACTCACAGATTACACTGTTTGTGAAAGGATTACAGTAAACTGGTCGACACGATCTCATCTTGCCTGGAATCATGCTTCAAAATCATTTAAATACATATGTAGTGATGACAACATCTATAAAGCTTTGGATGATATTTCTATTTTAACTAAAACACGCGCAGCTTCAGAATATGGACTACTTGTAAGTTGAAAAAATGTTTAGTTTATCCTGTTGAAAAACTGTCACGTACATGTTTATAGCCAGAACTGGCTGAGAACGGTGAATTAGCTGAAAATGATACCCTGAAGAACTTGTGGCAATGGTTGTATCTGAGTCGTTATTTGGTTGAAGATGGTACTATACCAAGCTCAGATAACAAGCATCCAGGTGTTAGGTAAATTAAGGATTCTTTGAATAATTATACATTTAATAACTCATAAATTAATGTCTATTAATGTTACATAGAACCGTTTTAAAATTAGATAGTCAGCAAGGATCTAACAATGGTTTCTTGAAATCAGAATTAATTCATCGTCCGTGGTCAGATATAGGTTCTAATCACACTGCAAAAATTTACAGGTATGAAATAGAAATAATTAATTGAAATCGCAATTTCATTGTTACATTTATTTGCAGATCTCCAGATAGAGATAAAGGACTGCTCTTATGTGGTTGGCGATTTGACAAAGAAGCGAACACTCTTTATGATAATTTATTTTTAGATAGATTGGAAAGAGAAGGGGCATATCCAAGAGCAGCGGCAATAGCAGTATTTAATTTATGTTTACGGCAAGCCATAGAAATTTTAAATCGTGGTGCTAGTAAAATTTCCATGTCTGCAAATTTAAATATCGTTGCTATGGCTTTATCGGGATTCTCTGAAGATAGGAACAGTATGTGGAGAGAATCGTGTTTAAAATGTAGATCCCAACTCTCGGATCCCTATTTGAGAGCAACTTTTGCGTTTTTAACAGCAGATGATTCTTATGAAAATGTTTTGGTAAATACATACATATATGCATATACATCTCTTTGATAAATGTACTTAATACTCATTGTATGTTTTTACAGAACGAAGACGGTATGGCAGTTGAGGATAGAGTAGCGTTTGCTCTTATGTTTTTATCGGACAACAAATTAAGCGATTACTTAAAAAAATTGACACAGAAATTAACCGACGAAGGAAATTTAGCTGGTTTTCTTTTAACAGGTTCAGCTTTAGTTTAAGTCGTTCGATAAGTATGTTTTCCGTTATAATGCATATTTATTTCGATATTTTAGGTGCCAGTTTAGAAGGTATACAATTATTAAATCGGTACTTGGAAATCACTGGTGATGTCCAAAGTTGTAGCCTGATAGCTATTCGAGCACTTACGCCAAAGTTACTGCAAGAAAATCAGGTTCAAGTCTGGATTACTAGGTATTAGATGACGAGTGTAAGAACAGGGTCGGCGTTAAGGGGGTGCGGGGTCGGGCAATCGTCCAGGGCGCTAGATCTGTAAGGAGCGCCGCAGCCCGGTGTCCCTAGTATGCGAATATACAGATATTTTCTCATTGTTTCTTCTCTTCTCTACATATATGCTGCGACATTTATGTCTACATCTTTCCTGACGCGTTTTTTTAGCCCCTGAATAGGCGCCATGATATGTTGCCCTATTCAGGCGCCAATATTGCTAAAACCGGCCCTGTGTAGGAAAAATTTCTGTTTAAACGCAAGAATTTTCAAGAACCTAAATACAGTTACAGAAACCTTTTAAATGCTTGGAAAATGTGGACTCAGAGGGCACATTTTGATATTGCTATGCGGTCTGCTACGAATGAGAAACCGCCACAACAAATATATATCTCTTGTAACTTTTGTGGTAAAAGCATATCTGCATTTATGCAAGGTCTTAGTAGAGCAAGGGGACCTTTTGGTAGATTAGGAAGCACACCCAATAAATTAAAGGTAAATATAGTAAGTCAAAGGTATTATATTCTAAATAACAGTGATATCTTTTACATTGTTTTGTTAGATGTCTTCGTGTCCAAACTGTAGAAAACCATTACCTCGATGTGCGATTTGTTTGATGCACATGGGTACTGTAAGTGGTTTACAAATGACAACATCTGGCGTTAGTAGAAATGAAGAATGTGATAACAAATTAACAGAATTCAGCAATTGGTTTACATGGTGTCAAACGTGTAGACACGGTGGTCATGCTGATCATATTACACACTGGTTTCGGTAAAGTTTCAATACTATTAAGTATCGGTTCACCTTATTTTACATTCTTTAATAAAGTATCTTATCATTTGTATAACAGGCAACATTCTGAATGTCCAGTGACATCGTGTACTTGTAGATGCTTTTCCTTAGATGCATCATGCAAAATTGGAATGAGTATTGTATAAATAGAAACAATAGGTTCAAAGGGTTTTGAATAATGCTGACAGTGCTCATTTTGGTTTTAGGATTTTAGGTTATTCCTAGAAACAGTATAAATACAAGAAGCAAATGATAACAAACCTTGTACCTTGATAATGTGGCACTGTTTAATTTCATTATGAAGAAATAAATGTAATAATTGTATAGTATATATATATATATATATATATATATATATATATATATAATTGTATTATTATATAAAAGAAGAATCACTGTAAATGGTATCGCAATTTATAACTCTACATTATCATCATCCGATATCATCCACTTTTTTGGTCCCAATACGTTTAGTAGAGTTAACATTTCATTATATTGATCAGAATCTGTAATACATATTTCCTATGTTTTAGTGTACTTTGAAATGTGTATAATGAGAAATTAAATCTGATATTTACCAAAGTCTTCTGTCATGCTAGGTGAAAATAATACATAACTGCTACAGGACATTGTAGACTTGGAGTTCAAAGTACCATGAACTTCTATATAACCCTCAGCATTAAAATCAAGAGGTTCTGGTAAAGTAACGTTAACTTGTACACCATCAGTAGTTTTTAATTCTATATTTTGACCATTTGAACTTTTCTAATATACAAAAAAAAAAATCAAGAAAAATTAATGCCATGCATTTGTACAAACAAAGCGTTAAATTAATACGTAAACAACTGCAAATATTACGCAAATGCTTACTTTTTCAATTGTTCCAAGTATAATCACTTCTCTTCCCACATTTTGTGCTAATCGATAACCATCGATACGGCTTTTTACCATTTTCTTTTATTATTAATTAACAGCGTTTATCAAATGTTTTCAATATCAATTTTGAAGAACTTTTGTCATAGTAATTTCAAGCCGCCAACAGAAGAATTACAAAATTTTAGTTAGGAAAAATTCTCAGAGCGTGAACCACTGAGAACGCGGCAGTTCAGGCAGTTTAAATTCTAGTTTGTTTCTCTACATAAACATATAGAAGTTTTTCGTTGAAAAATTTGAGAACATTACATTTTAATCTACAGGGAAATTAATAAATAGAGAACGAATAAGTAATTCTATAACATAATTTATTTATGAAACATACGTATAAAACTATCATATTCAACTTGTTCGAAATTATTTTGTAAATAGTACACCAAATTCAAGCAATTTACACAAGGCATCTTTTCTTGCTTGTTCTCTGGTTACACCTATGCCAATTTGAAATATTATGGGATTAGTATTCAATTTAAATCCAATTGCAGATTTACCATTAACTGTTTTAAAGTTAACTTCTTCTACATTTGTTTCAAATGCCTTGTGTATAATAGCTTTTAGAGTGTTAACGTCTTGCAAACTATGCGTGTTACACACATTCTTCAAACAATTTTTATTCGTTACGTCGAAGCTGTGGCATAAATTACTCAATACTTTAACATAATCCTCAACTTTGATATGAGGTTTGAATAGAACAGGTATTTGTCTTGTTCGACCATATGCTTCTAATACTTTTTCTTTGTTAAATTTTTCATACTTAGGCTGATCTGTTGAGAGTTCCATAAATTGTACATTTAGATCATTTACTGTGTCTGATGTTTTTGTATTATGTTTAATAACTGGAGGCAGGTGACTTTGTAAATTTTCTAAAACTTGTTTAGCTGCTTTGTGTTTAGCAAGTTTTTTTGTCCTTGCACATCCTTCTTGACATACAGAACCTACAGTACAACTTATTGTGAACACTGGAATATGAGAAGGTCCAGCTGTGGCAATATTTTCATAAACTGGATCAGAAAAGTTGTTTTGCTGACAATGTTCCTATGAAATAATATTGCTTTATTATTAATAAAACAATACATTTACATGATACTGTAACAGAAACAATGTTTAAGAACATACTTACGTTCAAAAGACCTACATAATTCATAAATTCTTCTTTTATGTCTGAATCAGAAACATTGGAATTATTAGCGACTGAAGAACATAAGTAATCTGTTGTTGTAGAAGTATTTGATTTATTTGGTAATGTAATACTTCCTGTAGGTTTTACAACTGATAACAATAGTGTTTCTGGAATTTTTTTTTCTGATAATAATAATGATAACATTTTTGTAGCAGCATTTTGCTTGGCTTCTTTTTTATTATATGCTGTTCCTTCAGCAGTATAATTTCTCCATGAAACCCTGATAACAAATTTCTTTTGATGCGTACTACTTACTGATAATATTTCTGTATAAACAGGTAAAGTACCAAGTTTCACAGAAGCCTCTTGCAAAACCATTATTGGAGTTTGATTCATTTTGTTTGATTTATATAAAAAAAGTATTTCATTAGAATAATTACTTTATAATCACTACAGGTTTACGTTATATTCAAAATGCATTCTAGCAGGTATGAGTCAGAGAAGCTGTAAGAAATATAAGGATAAAATCAGTTTACTCATATTCTTTTACAAATTTGACAGTAGAAATGTTAAATATAAACCATCGCTGTATGTAAAACTTACTATTTACAAAGTTGATCGTATTTCTCGATAATAATGTAATAACAATTTATCAACTGTTTTGTTCTGTTGCGTGTCCGTCGCGGAAAATAGGGATATTCGGGGATTTAGGTGCAGGTGTGACAGTCCGTGGAGCGCAGAGGCGCTCTGCTCTCAAGGCGCGGATATACAAAATAGTAAACTGTTATTATTGTTTTGAGTACTTTAATATTTTTAATTCAATTTAAAACAGAACTTTGACTTTGTGTTAACAAGGCTTAGAACTTTCTGTGCGAAAACGACTTGTCCGTAACGAGTGACAAAATCATTCTGACAATTCTGCGCTTGGCGGAGGAGATCTTCGCGCGTTGTCGGTCGATGCCCCTTCCTTGGTGGATCCTGGATCCTCCCTCAGGATCATCCCTCGTCCAATGGTGGAGGAGTCCACCCCGTCTCGTATGGGCCCCTTCTCCTGGCTGTGGTCCACCCTCAAGCGCGTGGAAGTGGAGGCGCTCCGCCAAGACGCTAGAACGTTGCAGCACACATGTGCTAAGAGAAAGCGTGGGACCCAGAGAAATTAGGAAACGACAAGACCTTGTACTTGCCAAAGCAACTCTTGAGGAAATTTACGACCCTCTTAGAGTGCATGAAAAGACAGGATATCGAAAAAGACTTCGTAACCCTTAAGGACCGTTCGTGACTTGGTCGAAAACAACGAATTAGCTATGGTCTATCATAAATTAGTTTTTAGGAATTTTCCAAGTGAAACTATTCCATTCTCTGGACTTCCGGCCTTCTCTCAGCTCTATCACCCACGTCGAGGGGTTTACAATTTACTCTTTGTTTATTTATATAAGGGTATGCATAGACGATGTTCGAATTTCGCTCTTAATTTATGACCATCGATACAAAGGTCCTCGAAGAACATTCAAGACATATCGATACAATAGACTATCGATAAATATTCCCATGGCAGTGTCGCCACACCACTCTAAACATATTCACGTGATAACGTTTCACGTTACAGTTCCATTTTAAGTGGACAGTGATCCTACTGTTCTTTCCTATACTGTGGTTCTGGGACCACTGGTTGGATCTGTAATCACCGTATGTCACTGCAACATACCCATTGTGGATTTTACTCGTCTTTGTTCGTGTATAAACATAAGCACATAATGCTAGGCAGATCAAATATAAACTACAGTTTAATTTCTTCGGTTCGTGATGGGGATTTAAAAAGAGTATGCGAGTTAATCAATGTTTACGGTCTATCTTATTCACAAGCATGGTCAGAAGGATACGTTTTACTCCGTGATGCTATTGCAAATGAACATACAGAAATTGCTAGACTACTTTTAATAAATGGTTCCAAAGTTAACAGTAAAAACAAGAATCCCTCTGATAGTCCACTTCATTTAGCTGTTAGGAAGCGTAACAGAGAAATTGTTGAACTGCTTCTACATAGAGGTGCATATGTTAATTTTAGAAATGAACGAGGTTACACTGCGCTGCATGATGCGGTTCAAACTGGAAACATGGAAATTACTCAACTACTTTTGAATCAGGGAGCTCATGCTGATGCTATAGACAATTACGGTATAACTCCACTTCACATTGCTGCTGCGAAAGGATATGTACAGATTGCTAAAGATCTTCTAAATCATGGGGCTTATATTTATTCTGTATGTACTTCAAAAGGGAGCGAAGGGTATATGCCACTACATTTTGCCTCTGAAGGAGGTAGCGAAGAAGCTGTTAGATTATTTTTGGATAAAGGTGTTGATGTTAATACTAACGCAAAGGATAATTTAACGCCACTTCATATGGCCACTAAAGCAGGACATGAAACAGTTGTAAATCTACTCCTAAAGCATGGGGCTAAGGTTGATGCCCAGGATAAGAATGGCAAAACTGCATTGTATCTTGCTGTTGAAAAAGGATATTCAATGATTGTTAAGGATATTTTAAAGTATTGTTCTGATATTAATAATCAAAGCAACAGAAGCTCTCTTGAAGCCGCAGTATACGGGTATAGAAAAGAGATCGTTGAGACTCTTCTTCAACATGGTTTTACTGTTAATCCTAAAGATGTAAATAATCCTGAATTGCTGCATACTGCTGTTGAGAAAGGATATTTGAAAATTGTTGAAGACCTGTTGAAGTATGGTGCTAATGTTAATACGTTACACAGTTCAACATGTAAAAAAGGTTTCACGCCTCTACATAGTGCAGCCAACAACAAGCAAAAGGAAATGGCCAAATTATTGATAAACTATGGAGCTAATGTTAATGCTAAAGATGCAAGTGAAAAAACTCCAATATTTTATGCTATTGAAAACGTTGATGTAAAAATCACCAAACTACTTTTAACTAATGGAGCTGGTATAAAAGATAGTCCTGAGTTACTAAGTATTGCTGTTAAAAAGAAATGCAAAGAAATTGTTGAAATTCTTTTACAACATGATGCTAATATTAACGCTACTGATGGGTGTGGAAGAACAGCCTTATATTTTACTGCTCTTGATAAAGAGAGAGAAATTGCTGCATTGCTGCTAAGTAAAGGGGCTAATGTTAATGCTAAAACTAAAGATGGAGTAACAACACTTCACGCTGCTATTAAGAATGGATGTACAAAAGTCGTTGAAGCTCTTTTGGAATACAATGCAGATGTTAACTATATAGTAGAAGGTGATATGACACTGCTCCATCTTTCTGCTCAGAAAGGAAATGAGCTAATTAGCAAAATGCTTTTAAACAAAGGGGCCGACGTCAACGCTACACGAAAAGGTCGAATAACTGCACTTCATATTGCAGCTAAAAACGGTCATTCGCAAATTGTTGAGATTCTCTTGGAATTTGGTGCTGAAGTTGACTTTAGAGATGAGTATGGTAAAACAGCACTTCATATTGCTTCTGAAGAAGGATATGCACAAATTATTAATGCTCTTCTAGAATATGGTTCTGACATCAACATTATAAGTAAAGGTGGTCATACGCCACTTGAATATGCTATGATTAGATATGATCAATACTTACATGATAGATATGATCTTCAATTTAATAACTATGATCCTCATCGTGATTATTATGAGCCTGATCGTGATTATTATGATCCTGATCGTGATTATTATGAGCCTGATCGTGATTATTATGAGCCTGATCGTGATTATTATGATCCTTTTCCTGATTATGATGAAGGATATGTTGAGATCCTTAAACAGTACATAGTTAAAGTAAAAACTGCAGGCTTATACGTAAATGCAATAAATTTAAGTTTGATTAATTTGGATGGAACTAGGCTCATGGAAATTAGTGACAATGAAATTAGTGACAATGAATTTAGCAATTTTCAGAGGGAATGTAAAGCAGAAATAGAAATTATGACAGGCGAGAAGATTGATAGTAGCAATACTTCTTTTCACGATATCCTGACAAAGAGTATAAGTCAATTAGCAATATATGCAAGGAATAAAAATATAGTACAGGCCTTGAAATCAGATGATTATAAAACGAAATTTCCAATATATGCTAGTGTAATAAATGGTCGATTTAGGAGAGGCATAGAAAAAAAAAAGTTACTGGAACAATGCAATATGTTTTTCCATTCTCTCTGCAAAAGCCTTCTTGAATTACCAACTTATTGTACTGAAAAAGTATTGAGTTACCTAAATGATGAAGATTTAAGAATTTTAATAGATGCTTGCAAGCCTTTGAATAGCCCTAATACCTATATTAGCGATGTGGAACATGCCTTAGTTGTGAAAGGTAGACAGATAGAATTTCTAGATACTAACTAGAAGTTTGACGTCAATATTTGCTGAAAAATTCATCTTAACCTGTGTAATATTTATTTCTGCAAAATCGCTAGTGACATGGCAAAGAATACTACTATCTCGATAAGGTACCAAATAGCAGAGAATATAAGAAGCTGGATATTAAGGCGGAAATATACTGTAAAAGATTTAGCAAATAAAACCGGTATAGGATACTGTACGCTGTTGTACTTCGGCTTGAATTCAACTATTTATTTGTCAGTTGTATAAAATTAGCAAAGTACTTAAAACGTTCGACTGTGCGAGAACAATCAGTAGAGTTCGGTTGACAAAATCGATCTCATCATTCTGCGCTTGGCGGAGGAGATCTTCGCGTGATGTCGGTCGATACCCCTTCCTTGGTGGATCCTGGATCCTCCCTCAGGATGATCCCTCGTCTAATGGTGGAGGAGTCCACCTCGTCTTGTGTAGGCCCCTTCTTCTGGCTGTGATCCACCCTCAAGCGCGTGGAAGTGGAGGCGTTCCGCCAAGACGCTAGAACGTTGCAACGCACATGTGCTACATACGAGAAAGCGTGGGACCCAGAGAAAATAGGAAACGACAAGACCTTATACTTGGTAAAAGGCAACTCTCGAGGAAATTTACGACCCTCTTAGAATGCATGAATAGGCAGGATATCGGAAAAGACTTCGTAGCTTTTGAGGACCGTTTGTGACTTGGTCGAAAACAACGAATTGGATATGGTCTATCATAAATTAGTCTTTTAGGAATCTTCGAAGTGAAACTATTCCATTCTCTGGACTTCCGGCCTTCTCTCAGCTCTATCACCCACGTCGAGGGGTTTACAATTTACTCTTTGTTTATTTATATAAGGGTATGCATAGACGATGTTCGAATTTCGCTCTTAATTTATGACCATCGATACAAAGGTCCTCGAAGAACATTCAAGACATATCGATACAATAGACTATCGATAAATATTCCCATGGCAGTGTCGCCACACCACTCTAAACATATTCACGTGATAACGTTTCACGTTACAGTTCCATTTTAAGTGGACAGTGACCAATTAGGAACGACCACGTAAGTTACGTGGACGCGGGCTTCCCTTGGCTTGCTAGGGACTCGAGGTGGGGTTTTCCATTCTTGGCCAATGTTATTTCCCTAAATTGGTGAAAGACTCATTTCTCTAAACCGTTTCTTAACCAAAAGCAACCATATTTATGCATATAAAAATAAGTAGTTTTATCTTAATCTAAGACGCACATAACAAATTTTAATTTCATATGATTTAATATTTAAAATCTAGTGATTTGTTTCTCAAAAATTGATCATTACCATTTATTGCACAGAAAATGGAGAAAAAATGTTGAGTTTAGCCTTCTATGAACTTTTCCATTTTCCATGTACATCACCGATGGTCGTAGTCGGCTTCTTCTATTCGTTTTTGGAGCTGCGTAATGTCGTGTCGATTGAATGACTTTGGCACTAAGTAAAGCCGATTACTATCATTATTTTGTATCAGTACTTATTCAAAACGGAGTACAAGAATTACAAAACATTCGTTGACGAAGGTAAATGTTTGTATAGACGTAGAACATGTAGAAAAACAATATTGATATTTTATCGACAAAATAGCAATGGCTGCAATGCGACGTTAAGAATCTTTCCTCCCTTTCTTGAAATTCGTTCTAACACTGTAATAAACTTATTACCTCTTCGATTAGTTAAATACCGCTTTTTAAAGTATATAATCCTTTATTACACTAGAAGCATACCTTTTGCATTATTTGTTACCCAATGGTCTTTTTATATAACATAACCTGGGAGCATTCATTAACACGTCTCGTGAGTACATTTTTTTTTTTCTTTTTTATTAGAGTCGAATTATAGAAAAATGGAGCAAGATTCGAGACGTAAAGGACCAAGAAGCCCTAGTGCAGATTCAGAAGATTCATCTCATAGAAGAAGATCAAGAAAGTACGATAGATCTCCTTCTCCAAGAAGAAGTAGATATCGCCGATCTCGTTCTCGGGATAGAAGATCGCGTTCAAGTTCAAGGGATCGAAGAAGAAAAGAGTCCAGTCGTTCGCAACAAGAATGGAAACAATCGGCATCTCAGACTCAGACTTCTACCCCGAACCCAGCCAATCCTGGTGGCTACGTGCCACCAGTTCATAATCAGTATCAGGTAGAACTAAAAATAAATAAGAAGTAATTGTTCAAATGTTACAATTCTCGTAACGAAAAACATCTAAGCATTTCTAATCCATTCTATAGGCACCTCCGCCTCCAAATACCAGTCAACCGCCGCCACCTTTATCGGCTTATAACCAGGGGTACAGTACCTACAACTACAACTATGGACAAGGCTATGACTATAGTTACCAGCAACCTACTAGTTACCGCAGTGTAAGTTATTTAAAAGAAACAGTACCCAATTAAAAAGCTGTGCGTTGTATGAAAATGATAATCTTGAATTATGGTAATTATAATTGTATCGCAATGAAAGCAATACAATCAAGTTTGATCATTTGTGACAATACTTTGGATTATTGTCTGTTCATAGATTTAATCGTATTTTATAAATCTGTGAAAATAACCGAGAAAATAACATCATACAAACCGCCCATATGTCTCTCGTAGTACTTGGTAATATTATTGTTAATTTCCGGGGGATAAACTTTTATGTTCTTTTGTATCGCGAAGCATTGTGAATCCCCTCGTAAGTATAACATTCGCGTTGTTTATTTTATTGGCATCGACATTGGAAACCAGTATTATTGACCAGATGATTCGTCTTCAAGAATCTTCCGTGTATTATCCAAAGTTCTGATTTGAGTATGGACAAATAAAGGTAAGGTTTAATAGAAGTACTGTTTGAGTATTTGACATCAAGTGTATGTTTATTTTGTTAGGATTATCCACCACCGAACTGGCAAGGGAACCAGGTATCTTATAATAATCAGCAGCCACCACCACCGCCTACGTTAACATCCCAACAAGAATCGTCAAGACCAGTGGACAGTGGTTCTTCTGGATTGGTATCGTCTTTGGCAAGACCGGAGGATGCCAGGAAAGAAGGTACATTTCTTAATGTATTTTTAATAACCATTTATTTTTAGAACATGAAATTTCAAATGTGCAACTTTATACATAACTTATTTACATTACTTATGTGTACGCATGTAGTCTTAAGATATCTTCAATTGAATGCCTAGCAGCAATCGCAGCTGAAGTAAAACAGCAGAAAGCAACGCTGGCTAAACAACGCGAAGAATATGTTAAGAAATCTGCTACGTTGCAACGTGAGCTGGAAATTTTACGTCAACAGTGCGATGAAATTGGTAAAGAGGGTGGACGGGAAAATAATCGCATCATTAAAGAAAATCAGAAGTTGCAGGTAAATAACCGCGCGTTGTCGTGGAAAGAAATCGGTACAGTTTTATATAATTTATTAAACCCGAGTCTTCTTTATTTACAGATTGAAATACAAAACAAAATGAAGTCGATACACAACGTTATCGACATGCTTACCGGAATTATAGGAGACAAAGCTACGGTAGACGATCTTAAAAGCAAGTTTAAATTAGAAATTAACAAACGTTCACGAAGTCCTAAAGAAGATTTTCCGAAAGGAAAATCAGAGTCACCTGATAGATCGTCGGCATCCGATTCTGACAAGGAGTCCAAAATTGAACGTGAGACGAAAGAGCGAAGGTCTCCTGAAGATTCAAAACCAATGTACAATTTCGTACATTATGATCCAGAAATGCACTGGTGTAAAGTCTGCGATATATTTCCTAAAACGGCAAAGGAATATTTGAATCATCTGCATAGCAATGAGCACAAAGAAGCATGTTTAGTAAGTTGCCAATTAATACGATAGTAAAGCCATAGTAAAAGCTTCAAATTTGGTATAGGTACTTTGAAATAATTCAACGTAGAAATTCCTAATTGAAGATCGTTTTCATAAATAATATTTACAATCATTAGAACAGGAAGCAGAAAACTGTAACTGATAATTGATTTACATTGTGAGAGAACAAAACGGATTCGGTTAAGACTATATTTCTAATTTGAACTATATTTGTATAAGGATGATATATTACAATAACGATCGACATGCAGGTACTTGGTACATAGTCTGATTGATGTACCATAACAATGTCTCTTAAAAAAGTACCACCGAGTATTTGTACAATTTTTAGATAACCCTGTCATTAACACTTTGTTCCCTACAACAGGAACGCAAGATAGTTGATATGCCATGGCATGAGCGGAATGGAGAGGGAACGGAAAAGGAAGTGCCCTATTATCCTGGACTGCCAACGAAAAGAACACCAATTAAAGGTATGGTTCATTTCAGTGGATAATTACTAATAGAATACAATTCCGTAGCTTGTGCACAGACACTGTGGTGTCCGGTATGTATTGAAGATATCTACGGCTATGGTTTGCTTAAAAATTTGTCTGCAATAACACATGTAATGCCGGCTCGTTAAGTCAAATTAATTGTAATTTAAATATTTCTTTATTTATTACAATTTTTTTGAAAATTTTTGGATAATCTTTTCCGCGAAAACAAATCGATTTAAACCTTTTTCGTATAACAGGATAGTACTTTTTATTTTTTACCTCTGAAGAGGTGTCTGTTCGTGTCACATTGTTAGCAGCAAATTTTCTAGCAACTATGTAAACACCGTTAAGATGCACTGGATTTTAAATGGACTCGAGGAACACGCATTTGAGCGATTTCAGATATATTTCAGCTTCTGTAATCAAACTATTTAAAATCATTCCTCCGCAAGTGTATCGTTCGTCGTAGCTCTATTCACGGTCAAGAATGAACATACGAAGATTTTTTTTTTTATCAATGTGAAAAATGTATCAATATAAATCAATGTTACAGTAATGATGGTGCGTGTACAAAATACAAATAATGTATATAGTTATACGAAATGTGTATAATGTGGTACTTATTCGCTCGTGTTACTTATTTTACTCATCGTATTTGTTATATCTATGAATACGTTCATGGCATGTATTATAAATCGAAATATTTTTGTGAAACGTGCTGCAAATGCCAATACTTATCTAAGTACATGTCTATACTTTGATACATGTACGTACATACATATAATTGTAGTGATTAAGGTAAATTGAAAGTGAAATGTAGAAAACAAAGACACAAAAGGCAATTGCAGTATGTACGAGAAGAAACCTGATGTTACAATACTTTATGTAATTTATACATATTTTATTTTATTTGTATCATCTCTGTGATATATTTGTACAAATAAAGTGATAATTTTTTTCGCCCTTTCCTTTATTCTTCTAGCGATCGACGTGGGATTAGTGAAGAGTATTTAATGTCTTTATCAACCATTTGTTGAGCATCTTTTAATACATTATTTTTGTTTTCAGTGACATGAATGTGTCGTGGCAGAATATAAGGTCATTCTTTATGAACTTAAATTGTTTACCATTTTCAAAGCTTAAGTAATGCTAAATATTTAATTATTTGATTATAGGTTTGCAGTTCTTCAGTGCTGCGACGGCATGGTATTGTAAACTTTGCGATTCCTGGATCGGCGATCTCCATTGCGCGAGTTTGCATTTGAAATCCAAACAGCATTCAGAGAATTATTCTGTAAGTTTGTGTGTTAGAATTTTCTACAGATTTTTGAAAGAATCTCGGGGACTTCAGTGTTTTATTATTCTTTTTTTTACAGCGTTTTGTAGACCAGAATCCTCATTGGGAAACCGATTGGATGGCAGATCGCGAGAAAGCTTTCTCCGAGGAGAAACACAAACAGATCCAAATGGAACTGCAGAAACATAAAGAGGACGATCCTCCGCCGAAGAAGAAGTCGAAGAAAAGCAAAAAGAAGTCGAAGAAATCTAAGAAACGAAGGAACAGAAGCAGCGGTAGCGATAGTTCCAGCGAATCAGAAAATTCCGACACCGATTCTGATCAGGACATGTCCAAGAGTATTCGTGTTGCTATGCGTAATAAAATGAAAGCATCGACTCAAGCGATCCTCAACGAGGAAATAGACTATCATCGAATAAAACTGAAAGGTCATTGGTCGAAAATGGCACAGCATTTGAATCAGCCACCAACTCCGGAACCGCAATCGGTAGAAACCGACGAGAGGCAATTGTTAAATTCGATCAGAGATAAACTGAAGGCTAAACAAGAAGAGGAGATGAAATCAATCAGTAATCGAAGATTGAGCCAAGAGAAAACAATTGAAGAGGAAGAAGAGGAGGAGGAAGAGGAAGAGGAAGAAGAACCAGAGCAAACCTCTTTCTCGAACAAAGTTAAAGCAGAGAGTTTAGAAGCTTGGGGGCCAAAAGAACCACCTAAGCCTTTTTGGATAAAAAAGGAAGAAGAAAAGCCGCAACCAATCGCTAATAAACCAATCGAACTACCGAAGCCGGAAGAAATGCCAAAACCACACATGGGATTTTGGACGAAACAGCAGGTCAACATGACCGTTAAGCCGCCCGAAAGTTGCAAATCGATGGAGAAAGAAGATGAGAGAGAACGCGAGAGTGAAAGATACAAGGACGATCGCGATAGAAAGTACGAGAGACGGGAGGATAAATACGAACGTTATAACAGATACGAAAGAAGACGTGGCCGGGACAGAGACAGGGATCGAGACAGAGATAGGGACAGGGACAGGGATAGGGACAGAGATCGTGACAGGGAAAGGGAGAGGGATTACTATGATGATCGAAGGAAACGAGACAGTAATGATTCTCCGCGACGAGAAAGAAGTTGGCGCGACAGTCCAAAAAGAAATTACGATAAATACGGCAAAGATAGAAGAGATGACAATTCGTCCAACGACGAGTCGAAATTTGAAAAGAAAACAAACGAGTCCGCGTCCAAGTCCAAGAAGGGTAGTATGCCTAGTAAAAAGTCAGCACCTCAGGTATCTAAAGGCAAGTTACCCTTTATTGGTAGATTACCGTTGTTCAAGAAAAAAACAGAAGAGCCGAAGTTGCCTGAAAAGGATATCACCCCTCTCCCGTACCAGCAAAGTAAATTCGAGGATACACCAAAAGTTCCCAATGAAATCATCAATCCCCCAGGTGTGGTTCATATCACTAAACTTGCTACTCCGCTTAATCTTGGTAATAACAGCAACAGTAATAACAATAGCGCCGCTAACAGTAGTAACACCAGCATTCCACCTGTTCAAAACAATAAAAATCAGTCGATGAAGATATTAGTAGCTCCGCCACCGCCAGTATTGAACGAAACAAAACCGACGCAACAAGTAGTTGATATGGAAATCGAAGATCAAACCGAGGAGACGGTGATAGAGGAGCCGATAATAGAACAGCAAAAGCAGGGTGTATCTAAATTACCTTTGCCTCCTCATCCTCCACCACCGTTAAACAGACCACCGCCATCTTTCTCGGCTCAACCGTCGCAGCAACAGCAATCCCCGCAACAATCTGTCCAAACCAGACCACAATTCCCTACAAACCGACCACCGCCACCGTTCTTGTCTAATCCACCACCGTTCGTTCAAAGTCAGCCACGATTCTCTCCTCATCAACCGGTACGTCCACCAGTACAGACTCATCCTCCTTATATGACAAACCCTCCGCCCCAAATGCCCACCGTTCCTCCTTTCGTTCAGAATCATCAGAATCCACCACCGCCTCCGTTACCAACCGTCGAAGGCGCGACAGCGGATATCGCTGAGATACCAGAACCTACCGAGAAACGAACCGATCCCAGCATTCCTTTGCCCGATGACCTGCAAGAAGCTCTGAACATTATTTTCCCCAAAGAAGAAACGGAAACTAAGCAGCAAAACAGCCAAGAAACAAATATCATGTATTCGTCTATGTATAGTATGTTAGGCTGCGTTGGTTACGGGCCAGAATATATGGATCAACCACCACCTGAGATCACGCAAGCTGAAAGCGAGGTGGATACTCAACCTGGACCAGATGATTTAAAGATGTTAGGTATTGACGAAGGAGATACAATCCTGTAAAATTTTTTTATAGAATCACTTATGTTGACTAAAATTGTCCCTTTTGATAAGATTCAAGTGTATATCTTAATCTCGTTTGTTTAACCCTTCCTTCGAAGTGATTGTTGTTCATAAAGGTTGGTCAATCGCAAATCGACGATACATATGTATTTCTCGATGTACAATTAATTCGTATAGTATACATGTTTGAATTTATGTAAATTAATGATAATTATAGAAACTAGTATTTGAAATAGGAAATAGTAAATGTTTCTCTTTACGTTTATTGAAAACTAATCGATTGATGCTATAGAGTTGAGTGAAAAAGAAGGTTGCAAAAGAATCTTATAAAATATTTGCTATTTTTTATTGGACATACTGTTTTTGCGTCAGTTTAATTGGAAAAATATAGAAGGATATTTTTAAGAATGCGCTGCAACTTGAACATCTTAATGTTGATGCAGTTATTTTCTATTGTACATTCATAGTTGAAATTTAAATTTTTACTAAAATATGGAATTTCGATTGATGAACTGTGTATATGGGTATTATAATTTCAAACATTGTACTTTAGATATGTAACAGAAGCTTTAGTTTTCATAATACATTTACTTTAAACGTCGATATGAACACGATATATAAACACAATGTTTTATCAAATTTCTAACTGTAAATTTGATTTATTAAAATTATTACATTAATAAATGACGGAATCGTGTAAAATGAGATTTAATATTATGAAGGATGAAGGAACAAATAACAGAACAACTTTATGCATTGTTCAACTCTATTTGATTTCTTTATTGGATTTTTCAGTTTTGGAAAACTGTTTTACAGAACCTTTTAAATACTATATCACATAATTTCACCCCGAAAGCGCATAGTTATTTATAATAAACCAGGATATTTGTTTTCTTCGAAGTTACTAAATACACGATAAATGTCAATATTGCATGGCACTGTGTATAACGTGAATTTTTCTTTAGATAGTAGTAATATGCTCAATGTTCTTAAATAGTATTGTCGTGATATTCGAATATTATATAATTTAACAATTATCTTGTTCTACGTTAAAATAAAATGAGCCATAAGAAACTTTTAAATTACTAAAGTATTCTACGTATTTATGCATAGAACGTCAATCGTGGAAGCAACACGTGCACGTGGAATGATATTTTATGGAATGAATTATAATTTAAATATTAAAAGTTTAAGCCGAAATCTAATTGATTCTGTGAGTGGCAAAGCAGAATATTACTATAATTCATTGTCGTTCAGTTATTTTTTAAATACAAAAATTATATTTGTAACACAAGACCAGCGCTTGAAATATTATCGCCACCACCTGCGGTCTGAGCTGCTTCGGTGCAGACCAACACCGGTGCAACGCAAACCTGAATAGGAATATTTTCGTTTCCTACTTTCAACGCTTCGTCCCAACAGGATACTGGTTTCTCGATATCCAGTGCAATTCTAGTACCGTCGACGATAGAGGTTGAAAAACTGTCGTCTAAAATTAAAGCAGCTTTCCTAATATCAACCTAAAATATATCGTATATTAATTAACATTGATTTTCTTATGTGGTTAGAAAAGTAATCTTTTATGTATTTACTTACGTGACTCGTTGCACATACGTGTCTATGTGCTGTTAACGATGCTTTAGCTGCTGCACCCATTGTATTTTTCCACATAGTATTTTTGGCAGTAAATATAGCTTGATATGCTAATGTATGTACATGAATTCTTGTCAGTTGTCGAGAATGAGGAATGTTTTTGCTTCTCATACGAATAAGTACGAATAACGTTCTCATCTGATCTAAAACTGTCGCGATACGCGGCGTTGAATTTGCTACTAAAGATATGTTCCCATAATACATCGCATTATGTAAATTAGCTATCTCTTGCTCGTTCATCCCTAAACTATCAGCAAATGGTATAACTGAATCACACAATTCAAAGAGCAACTTCTCTTCTGCAAATGAAGCCATTTCAAAATGGATCTTAGTAGATGGAGGTCGTTCCACCATCTGCTTCTTTACTTTAAGCAAAAGTGTTTCCCTTTCACCTGCATTTTAGTAAATGTATTTCATAAAATAGTAAAGCTATTTCATCAAGATTGTGTAGTTAAGAGTGGAATTTCAGTTACCATCTGGAAATGGATAATTATCCATCATTTGTAAACCACTGATAACAAGTAAATGAGGGTCATATGTTGATAAAATCTTATTAAATGCATCAAGAGAACTAAGCATTGGATTATTGGCATCATTATGAACTATATACCTGCAAATCATTTAAATATTTCACTGTAATTACTTATAAGTTAATTACTGATAGTTTTAAATGTTTCTTCATGTACCTATTAGCTCTAGCACTAGAATATGGGCCCCACACATCTCCGTGTTTATATTCTATAACTAAATGAATGTCATCCCTCTTTGCCTCACCTCCAATAATATTAATAACTTGGGGTATCATTTGATGCAAAGATCTAGTCAGCTTTGCAGCGAGTGTAACATCGCATCCCTCTTGTGCAAATCTTAATGCCATGATTGCTGCATTACCACCAATGGTAGAATATGATGATGGAAATGATCTAGCTTTGGTAACCAGTGCATCAAACAACGTACGATTAGCCATGTATCTCCTTAACAAATAAAATATTTTGTTTATACTTTTCAAAAATCATATACATGACATGTAATATTTTTATGATTGTGATGTAAAAAATAGATCTTACTCCGCAGCAGCTCCATGACGAAAGTAATAAGCAAAACTTTTCAAAAGCTCTATTTCCGTGTTGATTTCGTCAAAATGTTCGGGTCGTCCAATTTCTTTAGAATATGCAAGTAACTGTTTAGCATTAACATAGACGTCAGTACAAACACCATAACCTATTGCAACCTTCGGCCTGGAAGTTACCACATGTTTGTTCTCAAGCTTTTCTAACCCGTGAATTAAAGCCTGTAAACGTTTCTGAAGAACGTTTTCTGTATTTCTATAATAAACAGCAAATAAAACTATTAGTACAGTAAGAGCTGTACCAAATTTTAACCTCCTGTTGTACCCCATGTTGACAAATGTTGACTTCAGTAACTACGGATACAAAAAGACTGGACATGCCTTTGCTATCAAAAGATCATGATTTTAGGGGGTCTCAGACACCCCCAGGTAACTCACGCGAAAGCATGTCAGTCTGTCTTCGGACGATCCCTAGTTTCGGAAAAATAGTCGTAAGTCACGAAATAGTACCCTTTATCTCTTTTTATCCCATTGTCACTTACATCCCTGTATTCTTTATATGCCGGTATCCGCTATACATTTAAACATACCCTTTATACCCATATATCATTTATATCCCATTCCCAACCCCTGTTGGGGTACCAAACGCCGCTTCTCAGGACTCTTGCCAACGGAGAGTGTATCGGCGCGTTATGTATAGCGGAAATCGTTGGCCCCTGTGGCTTGGGGGAATTAGAATACCGCCACGGTATCCCCTGCCTGTCGTAAGAGGCGACTTAAAGGGGACACACGCACACACACGCGCGCGCAAACACGCACACACACACACACAGATTCAAACAAAAGTTATAAAAGTATGGAAGGAAAGTAACAGAAGTAAAAGTATGGCAAAACAGAAAAATGAAATGTAAATCCATCCTGCCAATCCATCCCCGAAGGCGCGTGGACAACAGTGTTCGGTGGGCATCAAGGAGGCAGATAAGCCCCCAAAAAACCCCGGCCCTATAAGGGCGAAATTCGTGATAGTGATAGAAAGAAGAAAGAAGAAGCGGAAATCAAAAGTTCTTTTAATTTTTTGGAGCAACTGTCATTATTTTGAAAATCTTTTATAATAAAATAACAAAAATATCAAGCTAAATGATTTCATATATTGTTATATATTATATATTATTTATAAATATTGTAAACCGAGTTCCTTTTCTTTCTCTTATTCCTTCCAGCTAGCTTCATGTAGGTAGCTAAAGGCATTATACCCTTATTTTATTTTCTGCGTTCATTTCATTTGCTGTAATTATCTTCTTAGCTTATCGAATAAACTCCTTAGGAGGACGAACGTGTTGATTTTATTACTTCCGTCTGCACCATTTATATCTCTGCATCCTTATATCACTGCAATCCTTACATCCCAGCAACGCTTACATCTCAGTATTCCTAACATCTCTGCATCCCTTACATCTCTGCATTTTTTTCATCCCTACATTCTTTTCATCCCTACATTCCTTACATCGCTTCATTCCTTACATTTCTTTATCCCTTACATCCCGACATTCCTTACATCTCTTCATCCCTTACATCGCTACATCCCTTACATGCCTGTATCCTTTACATCCTTGTATCACTTATACTCCTGCATTCCATACATCCGACTAAGGCCTGCGATTTTATACAAATTTAGTTCCTTTTTTCGCCACCAGAGGGCGCTGATTCGACATCGAAATTTTAGTTCACATTTTTCCCGCCAGAGGGCCAGAAATGGAACAAGCTTTAGTTCCTTTTTCCGAAACCAGGGGGCGCTGATTCGACATCGAGATTTTAGTTCGCATTTTTCCCGCCAGAGGGCCAGAAATGGAACAAGCTTTAGTTCCTTTTTCCGAAACCAGGGGGCGCTGATTCGACATCGAGATTTTAGTTCGCATTTTTCCCGCCAGAGGGCCAGAAATGGAGCAAGCTTTAGTTCCTTTTTCCGAAACCAGAGGGCGCTGATTCGACATCGAGATTTTAGTTCGCATTTTTCCCGCCAGAGGGCCAGAAATGGAGCAAGCTTTAGTTCCTTTTTCCGAAACCAGAGGGCGCTGATTCGACATCGAGATTTTAGTTCGCATTTTTCCCGCCAGGGGGCGCTGTTTTTCGAAATTTTCACGAAATTCTAACTTACCTTTACTTACCTTTACTTACCTTCACTCGAAGCAGTCGTTATAATATATTTATTATAAGGGATGCAGAGACGTAAGGAATGTAGGGATGAAAACAATGTAGGGATGAAAAGGGTGTAGAGATAAAAAGAATGCAGGGATGTAAGGAATGTAGCGATGAAAAGGGTGTAGGGATGAAAAGAATGTAGGAATGCGGGGGATGCAGAGATGTAAGGAATGTAGGGATGAAAAGAATGTAGGGATGAAAAGGGTGTAGGGATGAAAAGAATGTAGGGATAAAAAGAATGCAGGGATGTAAGGGATGCAGAGATGTACCGAAACAAGGGATGTAAAGGAATTCAGAAGGGGTCTGGGGCTTGGGCCCCGGTCTCCACTGCACGTGGCGCAAGGAGGGCCGGCATCGGGTGTGGGCCCCGATGTCGGCGGAGTTTGGCACATTGTGGTGGGTCAAAGTACCCTCCCTTCTGCCCTAGTGCAGGCCACCGTGGTGGTTTTAGTGGGTAAAAATCCCACACTACCGCCGGCCCCTCCCCAGGGGGGCTGGAGGTGTCTTTCTGAAGATTTCCACCACGTTAAAAAAAAAAAAAAAAAAAAAATGGGTATTTAAGGATTGCAGGAATTTAAGGAATGCTGTGATGGAAGGAATGCAGGGATGTAAGGGATACTGAGATGGCCTTGGCCTATAATGAGGGATAAAATTATATAAATAACTGAAAAAAGTAAAATAAATGGGGTCCTCGGCTGCTACCCAGAAGAGGGATTTAATCATAAATGTTATTTCCTTTCGATGAGCTTATTTAATAAGCGAAAAAAAATAAATGAAGTAAATTAAATAAACTCTGGAAAAAAATTATACTGTTTGTGCCCTCTCCATACGGCCCTGATATTATCCAGGGGTGTTAGGGACCCCGCTGCGCCAATGACGCCGTCTGCGTACCGACCTGATATCATGTTGGGGCATTAAGGACCCCGAAATGCCGGTGACTATCTTTGCATACCAATGATATAGCATCCGGGGTGCCAGGGACCCCAAAACACCAGTGACTATCTCTATATACCGACATATCATCCTGGGGTGTCTAGGACCCCGAAGCACCGACGACACTCTTCGTTTACCGACACCACGGCATTCGGGGTGTCTAGGACCCCGAAGCACCGTCGACACTGCCTGTATACAACAATATGGCATTCGGGGTGTCTAGGACCCCGAAGCACCGTTGACACTCCTTGTATACGACAATATGGCATTCGGGGTGTCTAGGACCCCGAAGCACCGTTGACACTCTCTGTATACGACATTATGGCATTTGGGGTGTCTAGGACCCCGATATACCGTTGCCGCATACCGATATTATGCCACCGGGGTGTCAGGGACCCCAAAGCAAATAGCGAAATATAAGAACGAAAAACGAACAAATCGTGAAACTCACTTGTTCGGTATAGTGATGGGTTTGACCGGATCTAGCGAAATATAAGAACGAAAAACGAACAAATCGTGAAACCCACTTGTTCGGAATAGTGATGGGTTTGACCGGATCTAGCGAAATATAAGAACGAAAAACGAACAAATCGTGAAACTCACTTGTTCGGAATAGTGATGGGTTTGACCGAATCTAGCGAAATATAAGACCTAAAAACGAACAAATCGTCAAACTCACTTGTTCGAGGTAGTGATGGGTACAACCGCATCTGTAGCGCATGCGCACTACAATTATTTGTTTTAAAACAAACTTGTAAATAATTAAAAGATTATTCACTCAGAAACAATGAAAATGATATCACAAACGATTTACAAACGAAATGCACTAAGAACAATTAAAAATAATCATATTTTATTATTCCTTCTGGCTAGCTTCATGTATGTAGGTAGTCTTTTTGGAGTGGCATGACTGCATGGGGTTTCTGGAACCCCTACGATTATGTCCGTCGAATACGAAGGCATGTCCAGTCTTTATGTAACTACAGTCACTGGTGATCGAACACTGCTTCGCAACTGTTCACAGCTACTTAGATTAAGCTGGTCTGGTTGTGATAGGTTGAAAGGTTAGGTTTTGTTAGAATGTTTCACAATAGAACAATTTTTAATGTCTAAACATATAAAAGTATCATCTGATTTGTGAAATTACGTTGTATATATTACAACTAGCTGACAAGATTTATTCAGGTTTTCAAAAATGAGTCGCAGAAGGGTTCATGAGGAAGAAGATGGATATGGTAAATCCTTATGTTTCATGTTGCTTTTGAGATCTCGGTTAATGTTCTGATGTTTTAACTGAGAAGTATTTTTTATACATAATTAAATTTCATTAATTTCAATTAGTAGAATTTTTGGATCCTAATAATTTTGCGTTCGTCCTTAAAGTAATTCTTGAGCTTAGAAAAATTCAGTATATTTAATTACATACATCTTTTTAGAACGGGCGTATAAGAAACGTAGAAGGGTATCAGAGAATCAAGAAATTGAAGATAGACTCGAATCCCTTATCTTACGGGTTGGAGAAAAATCCACATCTTCTTTGGAAAGTAATCTTGAAGGTTTGGCTTCTGTATTGGAAGCTGATCTTGGATTGTTTCGAAGTAAAATACTTCGAATTTTAACTGACTGTGCTATTAAAATGCCTGAGAAATGCACAATTTATACAACACTTGTTGGGTTATTAAATGCAAAGAACTTTAATTTTGGCGGTGAATTTGTTGACTACATGGTGAAGAATTTTAAAGATGCATTGAAAGCTTGTAGATGGGATGTAGCTAGATATTCATTAAGATTTCTTGCTGATTTAGTAAACTGCCATGTTTTGTCGTGCGGTTCTTTGATGCAGTTGTTTGATAATATGTTAGATGCTGCTAATGAAGATGGAGTACCTCAAGTAAGACGTGACTGGTATGTAAAATTATATAAAATTATATGAATACCAATAAATAAACAATTTTACTTCATTTCCATTCTGTTTAGGTATGTCTATGCTGTGTTATCAACATTACCATGGGTTGGAAGAGAATTATATGAGAAAAAAGAACAAGAGTTAGATCACTTGATGGTGACAATAGAGATATTTTTAAATAAACGAAGTAAGAAGCATCAGCCAGCCTTGAGAGTTTGGTCAAGCGATACTCCTCATCCTCAAGAAGAATACTTAGATTGTTTATGGGCTCAAGTGCGCAAGCTTAGACAAGATAATTGGGCAGAGAAACATATTCCCAGACCGTATCTTGCATTCGATTCAATATTGTGCGAAGCCTTACAGCATAACTTACCTACTATGATGGCACCACCGCATCATGAGTCTTATTCTTATCCATTACCGACAGTAGTTTTTCGCATGTTTGATTACACAGATTGTCCAGCTGAAGGACCATTATTACCTGGAAGTCATGCTATTGAACGATTTCTCATAGAAGAACATTTAAGACAGATTATTAACAATTATTTTTATGAAAGAAAAGATTGGTATGTACTTATATATTCTTCCTTAGTGTTGAGATTGTGTTACACGAAATTCACATGTATTAATAATAATTACAGTTCAGCTCAGTTGTTGAACTTCCCATATAAAGCAAAAATTCCTTTAGATTACTGTATTGTAGAAGTAATATTTGGTGAACTATTCAGACTGCCAGCGCCAAAAAATTTGGAAATATGCTATGGCTCAATTTTGATTGAACTCTGCAAATTACAACCATCAACTATGCCACAGGTAAGACTATAATTGGAAATTTAATAATAGAAATGTCTCATTGATATGTATATTATATTACAGGTTTTGGCTCAAGCTACAGAAATTTTGTTTCGTCGCATAGATAGCATGGCTGCTGCTGCGTTTGATCGTTTTGTATGGTGGTTCGCGTATCATTTAAGCAATTTCCAGTTCCGTTGGTCCTGGGAAGATTGGGATTCTTGTTTACAGCGCGATCCAGAACATCCACGTCCGAAATTCATTCGAGAAGTACTTCTTAAAGCTCTACGGTATAAAATTTCATTCAAACATATGCTGTGAATTAATTATTTATAAAGGTTATAATCTATGTGATATCTGCATCCAGGTTATCATATTATCAAAGAATACGGGACATGATGCCAGAATCATATGCTGACTTGATTCCACCACCTCCAGAGCCAATTTATAAATACACTTCTGAAGGAGCCAGTAACTATACAATTATTTATTGAAAAAATGAGATATGACAGTGTTTTTAATTGAATTTTATTTTAGGTTCACTTCCTGGTACGGCAGCTGCCCACGAACTAGTTGTTTCAATCAGACGAAAATGTACACCAGAAGAAGTATTGAATGTATTGAACACTTTGCCAGGTCCTAGAGAAAATGAAGAGACCAGTAACTTTAATCCTTTGAAAATTGATGTTTTTGTACAGACGTTATTGAATCTAGGATCTAAAAGCTTTAGTCATAGTTTTGCAGCGATAGGAAAATTTCATTATGTTTTTAAAGTAAGATTTTTAATAAACATTGTTCTTAAACTTTATACAATTAACTCGGATATAATATGGCCAATTTTGTGTGTCTTAGGTCCTTGCTGAAACGGAAGAAGCCCAAATATGCATTTTAAGAAACATGTATGCATTGTGGAAGAATCACTATCAAATGATGGTGGTTTTAACAGACAAATTTCTAAAGACTGGTATTATTGAATGTAGTGCTATCGCAAATTGGATATTTTCTAAGGAGATGGCATCAGAATTTACCAAGTATTTACAACTGCTTTGTATAATAATATTTTATGAATTATTTATTTATTTATTTATTTATTTAACTTCTAAATGGGTGAAACCCTTTTTACACATAATATGAAATAAGTAGAAATTGCTTACATATAAATAGTGAAAGAAAAGAAAACTTATGCTATTTGGTATTTTACGGATATAATCTTACAGGTTGTATATTTGGGAAATACTTCATTTAATAATTCGAAAGAAGAACAAACACGTAACTAAATTGAGTACAGAATTAGCAGAAGCACGCGAGAAATTAAGAAGAGCGGAAAGTAGATCTGGATCATCTTCCGACGATGAAGATAATAATAAAGATAGAAACAGGGAAAAACCGTCAGAAGATGTCGTAGAAAGAATGGAAGAGAAATTGGAAGCGGCACAAGCAGACCAAAAAAATTTGTTTCTTATCATTTTTCAGGTATAAACAATATCCTATTAATCCTCGTATAAAAATCTTTGAAGATGTAAAAACAATAATGCATTTTCTTCTTTTATAGCGTTTTATAATGATTCTATCTGAACATTTAGTACGTTGCGACACTGATGGTATAGATTACAATACTCACTGGTATAAATGGACGATTGGAAGATTACAACAAGTGTTTTTAACTGTAAGTGATCTGTTAAGTGATAAAAATGTGTTAGCTTCTTCTGAGCATATAATTCTGTTTTTTTTTTTTTTTTTTTGTTACAGCATCATGAACAAGTTCAAAAGTATTCTTCAACATTAGAGACATTACTTTTTACACCAGATCTGGATCCTCACATCTTAGATGTTTTCCATCAATTTGTTTCTCTTAGAGCGTAAATACCATTTTTTACGGTAATCATTTTATTATGTGAACTGTAACTTAAGTTGACAAGAGAATAGGAATTTTATTTCTCATTTTTAAATATTTCATATGTTTATTGATGAAAACATAATCATGATTATTTTATAATGTAACTTGCAACTAGAAGAAAGAACCATGTCACGTTATTGTATATTTTTAAAAATAACGTCAAAAAGTTACTTGATTTCTAGCATAATAATCACTTGAAGTGTAATGTAACATTATATGTAAATGTTTAATCTTTCGTACTGCGGCTTATCCCACGTTGATGTAAATATCGATAACGTTATTTGTCTATATAATTTGGAATTTCTTTTCAACAGAATATCGTAGTATGAACAAGGAGTCATACATACCAACATGTAATGTAAATAAAGGTTTAAAGAACAGCACTATACTGGTAGTTTTCATTTAATGAATCAATGATTAGATAACTAATTTAATATACGTAGGATACAAAAAACATTCCCTATATCCCTTAAAATGCAAATACAGTGAAAATATATTGTTTTTGCTTGATTGATTGATTGATAGTTTCCCTTTTAAAAAAGGCGGCATGATCTAGGGACAAACGGCCCCTTTCTGCCCACCGAAAATACATTATTCCTTTTCTCGCAATACATTTTTCACCTTGCCAGTTACATTTTCTTTCTCACACTTTTGCATTACTTTTACATCATACTGCCTTACATCGCCCTTTTAGTCGCCTCTTACGACAGGCAGGGGTTACCGTGGTCGTATTCTGATCCCCCCGAACCACAGGGGGTGTTTTTGCTTGATATATTTTGTGAGAATAAAAATCTGAAACAATCGTACGATCAAAATTGGCGCCTCATTGATTCCTTGAGACAGAAAGGGTTAAGAAACAAGGAATTTTTTTTTTTTACATTGGCGGCTGTGACGGCTTCCTACTGGTATATTTTTTGCGATTGCCTCGATGAAGTATAGTTTATGCGAGGTACTACATACACACAAATAATCAGTGCGTCGAATGATTATCGAAAGAAAATATATTTGTGCTTGGTTTATCGCAAGATTTTATGATACTGTCGTATTTAAACAGGGTAGTTTTCTTTTTGTTAATTATTGGCCGTGACAGCTGTGTGTGCTGTAATCATGAATAAGAGGGTCGTCAGCGCGAAACTTTTGGAATATCATGAACATAGTAACAGTGTAATTTAGAAATGGAAAATTAAATTAAGGCATAACAGTGGACAAATGATTTTTATACATCGTTAGTTGTGCAAACGAACGGCTGACTGTTATTGCGTGTCTTGTACGTGCAGCAAAACTGTTTCTGAACGCAGAACTCAGCATGGTGATACGGTAAATAGTTCATCGTTTCTGGATGCCTAGGTTAATTAACGTTGTTTGTGCATTGCGATTTCTGTACCGTTCGATTCTTATCGTTTAACATTTTTTTTTTCCTATCAAGCCGGTCGACTTTTAAATATTTTCGATTCATCGATCACCTATAAACATTTACATAATTTTTTTACATTTAAAATTCTTGCAGGATTTTATATTTGTTCCTAGCATTTTAATTGCGGTAAACGACAATGTTAAACATGTTACGAAAGATATTAAATTTCATTTGTTTATTATCAGTTTGCGTATAGAATAATTGAATGTATAAAGTATTTTTATTATGAAAGAAAATTGTTAATAAAATAAACAGATAGATAAACGTTTTCCTTGTTTAATTTAAAATATTCTATTGGAATTCAACAGAATACAATAAATATTTTCATATTTTTTAAAACGAAAAACAACTTTTTATTTTATCTCCAGCTGGTCCCAGTATAATATACATAATTATGATTCATACTGAATTGATACAAACATGTTTACTTAACAAGTTATTAATGTTCAACTCATTTTGTATTCATGCACAATGTAGGATGAAATAAAGTGAATTGGAAATATTTGTGTTTCATTGGCATAACAATGTAATTAAGTACTTATAAATTTGTTTTATTTACTCGAAAAGCATGCGCTATGTAAACAAATGCATACATCAATTATAACTTGTAATCATTGTTTGATAAAATCTGTGCCTGGATGCACAGTTATACGATTGATTGGCGCAATATGATGATAAAAATAAATGTCTAGATAAGATAAAGAAAAATCAGCTGTTATACTGATACAGTAAGATGAGATCAAAAATAAATTTGTTAACTCAAGAAAGTTTCATATTAGTCTCTTTATAAAACACAAATTGTATTTATATCTTTTGTTATCAATATAAAACTATTTCAAGAGGTATCATAGCCACATTACCATTTACATTTGTATTGTAAATAGGAACAGACAGTTTGAAAACAATGTTATTACCTTTTCTGTGGAAGCTAATATGAAAATGAATCAAACAGTAATTTCAATTCAACCATTTTCTTTGACCATCAAGAAATAAAGTAGAAAGATGTTATAACAACTTAGGAATAATAGTTACACTGAATATTTCTTATTGCAGATTATAATTACCGATTCACAGCATCCCATGTTGCAATTGCTAATGTTTGTTCAACTTTACAAAGATACTTAAGACTGTCTGTCCTTATGAGTATCTTTTGAAATACAGTGGAAGTAGTAATCTGTAAATTTTACTGAAAGGAGGATGCCAGTAACTAAACGTATTCCATGCCCTTCGCGGTAAGTAAGTGGTTTACGTATTACATATTATAGGCCAATGAAAAAGACTTCTCCCCTTAAATTAGCATATAACATTTATTATGTAAAACATATAATTTAATTTTTTGTATCTCCAAAATGAAATAAAATTACTTTATCGTTCTTCGCATTTTATTGTACGATAATCGTATTCGTGGCATATACAGAACACGTTACTGACATCCACCATTTTAGTATTAGAACATTCTTAGATATTAATTCATTTTATTTAGAGAAACGTTAGATACTTCCACTATACAATAATAGTTCTATGAACATAAATACCTTTCCCTTCTAAGAAACGTAAATAATATATTGAAAGTATTATTAAATATTATAGGGACCAGCTATATAGATGGTAAGAAATAAAAAAATAAAAAAAGCGGCAGAAATTATTTTCTTCTTATTTTTCTTTGAACTTTCTATCATATTAATTCCTATTATTATATTCTTTTCAGATCCGACGGTGGTAGTAGTGAAAGTCCATTACTCGTGGAAGAAGGAGAAACAGTTGGTGCACCTCATAGTCCGCACACCAAACATAATCATAGTCATTCGCATGCTAATCCTCATAGGTCCCATAGTTACCGCCATGAAAAACCAAAACAATTAGTAAAATATGGAGAGTTAGTAATTCTTGGGTAAGAAGTAACATGAAAAAATTATATTTCAATGCACCTCAATAAGAAATATCAATGTAAGAATTTTTATAGATACAATGGATTCCTCCCACCGGGAGACCGGGGAAGAAGGAGAAGTAAGTTTGTTCTTTTTAAGAGGCCTGTACCAAATGGTGTGAAACGCAGTAAACATTACATTGTAAAAACACCTCACAGTTCACAAGCTATCCTTAATACGAAACAACATTCGATATCGTACACTCTTTCACGAACACAAGCCGTTATCGTAGAATATACCGAAGATGAAGGAACCGATATGTTTCAGGTAAATTGTATATTCCTTTGTGTTTATCAGGTACCATATTGTTTGTATAATAATTATTTCCGTAGGTGGGACGTTCTTCCGAATCTCCAATTGATTTCGTCGTCATGGATACCTGTGCAGGCGGCAGCGACAGCTCCAACGAAGGGCGCGTCGCTCAAAGTACAATTAGCAGATTTGCCTGCCGAATTCTAGCCGATCGGTCAGATCCTCGAATTGCAAGAATATATGCCGCGGGTTTTGATAGTTCAAGGAATATCTTTTTAGGGGTAAAATACTTAACATAGAATATAATTAGCCAACCCGTATATCTAAGATTGGAAATCTTGATAAGGGAGCTATAGCATTTATACATTCTGTCACATTTGTACAGGCCAAACGGTAAGAGTTATCGAAAAAATGCACCATTGTATTTAGTGGGTCAAAATCTTAACGAATGGCAACGAAACCAAAATTTGTTCCCACTTCCACGATAAAGGGTTGGCTCTAGAGTGAATCTCGCTCTAGTTCACTTTAGCTTGTTGCTTTTATCCTCAGTGTTTCATTCAATTTCTTTTTTATTCGTCTCAGGAAAAAGCAACAAAGTGGCAAGAGAATCGTGAGATCGATGGACTTACGACAAACGGCGTTCTAATAATGCATCCACGGGGTCAATTTTGCGGTGGCGAGGCACAATGTGGCTTTTGGAGAGAAGTGAGCGTAGGTGGTGGTGTATTCTCTTTAAGAGAAAGCCGAAGTGCCCAACAAAAAGGAAACGTTGTGGAGGATGAAAATAATATTCTACAAGATGGAACTTTGATTGATCTTTGTGGTGCTACGTTGCTTTGGAGATCAGCCGAAGGTCTGGCAAAGTCTCCGGTAAATATACAATCTTTAAATTTTGATACAAATTTAGGTTATCGCCAGGGCCGGCCCTGGGATTTCGGGTATCCGAGGCGAGCTCCGAAAAAGGGCCCTTTCACATATATGACAAAATTTATAAAATTAACATTAAAGCTTGTATAACTAATTTAGATTTGCATTTATATCAATTAATATTCAAGTAAACATTACTCTTGCATTCTTAGACGCAAAATCGCCTTATGGGGGCCCTAGATGGTCTGCCTACGTCCAGGGCCGTCCTTGGTTATCTTAGCTATAAAACTAATAGCATCATCTATAATGATCAGCGGTGAATTATATTACTGTACACATTTTATATAGACGAAGCACGATTTGGAAGAATTGGTTGATGCTATTAATGCCGGAAGACCACAGTGCCCGGTCGGTTTGAATACTTTAGTCATACCACGTAAAGCAGCTACGGATTCGACTCAACAACAGCCGTATGTATATTTGAAATGTGGACACGTACAAGGTCATCATGACTGGGGACAAGAGAAAGACAAAGCTACACGAAGGTGTCCAATGTGTTTAGTAGCTGGTTCGGTAGTTAAACTTTCAATGGGAATAGAACCAGCATTTTACGTTGATTGTGGCCCACCTACTTACGCGTTTAGGCCTTGTGGACACATGGCCACAGAGAAAACTGTTAAGTTAGTATTTAGAATACTATGAATATACATTTATTTCTACATAGAACATTATTTATTTATAAAATTTTCTTGGTTTTTATTTTAGATATTGGGAAAAGGTCGCAATACCGCACGGAACAAACGGTTACATTGCAATTTGTCCATTTTGTGCAGTCCCTCTCGAAGGAACACCAGGATACGTAAAACTGATTTTCCAAGATAATGTAGACTGAGGTTCGTTTATTATAAGATCGTGAGTATGTGTAGAAATTATTAACTTCTTATCAAATTCAAGGACTATTAAAATTAATGAAATGTAAATAATCTTAATGCGAGTATATAACAAAGTTCTGTCTTCTTCCCTTGGTATAAATTTAAGCGAAGTTTTATATGTACAAATAGCTCTGCAATAATTATTATGTACATGGCTATCAAAATAAATATCCCTTCTTAAACAGTATTACTCGCATATATATTTCTTCGTGTGTTTCTTTTTTTTTTTTTTTTTAAATGTATATTTAACAACGAGAAATTAAAGGTTTATTAAAAAAAAAAATGAATGGTTAGTGATTTAAACGATAATTATTTAAACGTATATATTTTTAAACATACCTTCATTTTTATGCTCATATAATAATCACATAAGACGAAGTAATTATATTATAAATATGTAACATTTCCGAACGGAGTTACATCTGAACTATTCTTATGTACACGAAATAGTAACTAGATTTAAAAGTATATTAATATATCAAGATCAAATAGAATAAGTATATTCGTAATATTAATATCTAATAAATTCAATCCTGTTATTATACGAACAGGAGATATTCCTAGTTTTACATAAAGATATTTCGAAATATTGGTGTTTCTTTTTTAATTAAGGTGTGACGATCAATGTAAAAATCACGGTGTAATTTTTAAAGAAATATCTATTGAAAATTTATGTTTAGCGAGCGATTCTGTTTTTACATGTAATGTGCACAAGTAAGCACGTGAATTTATACGAAGAAAAATGATTGAGCATAATTGTAAATGATAATCTGTTTTATCTTTTTCGATCGTTCGACCCACTACGACGGGAACGGGATCGACGGCTACGGCTATTACTGCGGGAACGTTTTGATCTGAAACAAATTAAACAATTATCATTAATAATTAGATATGACTTTCGTTTATCCACTTGCGGATGATATATTTTACTGGACTACAGTATTCTCTTGAAAAACTAGTTGATCTGTTTATTGCTGAGATAACACTCTGCGATGAGCTAATAAGGCAAACTGTTAGAAAATTTACAATGGAGGATACATTAATTTTCGTTCAACAGTGACCAACCTTTTTCCACGACTGCGGCTTCGAGAACGTGACTTTCTCCTGTCTCTGTCTCTGCGTTCACGATCTCGGTCCCGATCACGATCACGCTCACGGTCACGATCGCGATCTCTGTCACGGTCACGATCACGGTCTCGATCGCGTTCACGGTCACGCTCGCGATCCTTATCTCTATAACCCAAACCTCCACGTCGGCTATCCGATCTATCACGGTCCCTGTCCCGATCATCTCTGTCCCTATCTCTGCGTCTGTCGAGCAGCGATTCCCGTTTCTCTTTGCGTCTCTCTTCGACAGTTTTCTGAAGCTCAGCCAATTTCTCGCGGATCTTAATGAATCCCAGATGCAACTTCCCACCGAAATGATCCGCCAAACGTCTGTCGTTATCGTGAATGCCAAGGTAGGCACTGCAAACCTCGCAGACCCTTAATTTCTGTTGCTGGTAACTGGAAGCTGGCATGCTGTTCCTGTATTCTTGTTCAGCTTCGTTTTTCTTCTTTCTCAGCTCGTCTATTTCGCCCATCAGTTTCATCGATTCCTCGACGAAACCCTCTTCGCCAAGTTGCTCGGCTTTCGCCAATTTTTTACCGATCTCCTCCGCAAGAACGTGGACATTGTTTGCTTTAGCTGCAACCTCCGCGCTCAGCTCCTCTTGGGTTTCTGCGAGCCGTTGCTTCGCCTGTTCCGTACGACGATCACAATCGGCTATGAAATTTTGCAAATGCTCCATCGCCTTCAATTAGAAAATTTATACAATTAATTTTTAAATATTTAAGTTAAGATATTTAGAAAATATATATACTCACGTCAATGTCATAAAAGTGATCTTTCTTCTTTTGCGCAGCCTCATAATCAGCCCGTAGGGCCAGGTCGTGAATCTGGGGGCATTCTCCCAGGTCCATGCGCTGCGATTTACAAATCATTTCAATGTTAAACATCGATTATTATCGATTAAACGGAAAAACGACTTTATTGGTTTTATTTATAATAATCCCTCCCGACTTTTGCTCTTTTCGTGAAATCTTATTCGACAAGAACAAGGTTTCTTATCTCGCTTGCTTTTTGCAAATAGGTAAACTTAAAGAAATAATTGAAAACTAATGAACGCAACAACGACAGAAGTTAAAACCCCTAATTGTCCAGAAAGATACGGTTTAAATATCAGCTTTATATATACAAGAACTTACGAAATGGTTGATTGTCCGGTATACGCTTACAAGGTAATTATATATTCATATATATGTATATGCAAATGAATATAATTGCGTTTATACATAGATATGTACATATTCATTGATTGACCGAGAGCGACTTTGAATTCTGTTTATTTGGACAAAGTAAAAATGGAATTTTACATATAAATATTTTGTTATGTTTCACTTACAGAGTGGCAACACCTCTCCGCCTGACACGACAATGCGATGGCAATGAAGCTACAATCAGCACACACCTTAAGGTTCAGTGTCTATGAAACAACTTACAGCCTAATGGTTTATTATACTATTTACGTTTGGCACGAATTGACATATGTGAATCAATTCTAGACCATTTAGAAAACGAGTTCAATACGTACACGTCCAATGCTGAAGGAAATTTTTCTAACAGAACTGGCACGCCGCACAGTCCCCCCTAATTCTTTCTCTTTCTCCCCATTTCACTTTCATTTTCTGCTTCATGCCACTTCTCACTTTATTTTTCCTCATGGATAATACGCTATTGTTGCAAATTGCCAAAATCATATTATATTTAGTGCAGGAATTTCCTTTTCGAATTATTTTTATATTCGTTCGTATTTAAAGGAACCATTTTGAAAGTTTGAAACGAGAATATCGAAGCGCGAGATCTTGAAGATCGAGTATCGAGTACAGTGAAATCTCGATCGAACATTTCTCGAATCGATCGTTTCCACTATGGAGAACAGAGAACGTTGATAATTGTTAATTAACTAATTGCTAATTATGGTAAAAATTTAACGAAATGACCAATCGAAGTTTCATTGCATTATTGCATAGATATCGTTGAATGAATTATAATCACGAGAAAAATATGTAAGTAAAAATATTTGAAAATTCCTAATTAGCCAAAGGTAAAAAGAAAATTTTTGTTTCTTGGCAATTCGCATTGTCTTTACTTACAGATTACTGCTTCATTTCCTGTACCCCATTATATCTCCGAGGATGAATATGATTTTCACGCATACTTTCAAAGTAAACTTCATTTTTCTACCTGCCGTAAACGGCATTATTAGTAAGAAGCGACAATAAGACATCGTTCTCATGAATCAGCAATGGCGCTACTCACCAACTTTATACAGGCCATTCTGGGTCTCGGAATTAATATTCGACACTCAGCCTCGCCACCGTTGACCGGTAGAGGGGCTGAGGTAACCGCCCGCCTTTATTATTAACCAAATTAAATACCTATTACTTGAATTATTGTTAAGAGATAATCAAATTGTTAGAATTGTAATACGTACGTCCTCTTCGCTTTCAGTACTTACAGTAACGCGCATGTGAGAGCGACAAGTACAACACGACATATGAGCGGACAATACTCGCAACAATATTGTACAATGGATCTGATTGGAATTGCTTTTTCCAGAGACTCTGGAAATAGAACTGTAGGTACATTGGCATTAGTGAACTTGTATATCGTGTCATTCTCGCGAGTATTTGCCAGAAGTAATATTCTTTTTATTACATTTTTCTTTCAACATATCTTTCGATTCAAATTTTTAAATACTTTCATTTATTCTGATTTTAGTTGCTTACAATTGTATCACGAATAACCTGAATGCGAACGAATTTAAAAGGGTGCTTGCTAAGTGCTGTAAGAGACGCCCCCACCCCCTTTGTGCAGATTGCAAGTCTCCTTTTATAGATTCACAAGAATTAAAAATGAAAAGAGAAGACCTAGTATAAATAAGAGAAGTTAAAAATGTCCTACTATAAAGAATTCAGTTTTATCAAAACTAAGGAATTATATATGGTAGAAATATTTGATTCTTATGGTAACTGTTAAATATTATCCAATACTTTTCTTCGAAAAAGTATCGTTTGAAAACATTGGAATTAATCCATTTACGTATTCGAATGGAAATTAATGTACGTGCATTATGTCGCTTTGCTGCAAGTAGTTGGGCCACTTAGACCAAAAGTGAATAGATTTTTAAGTTTTTAACAAACACCCTTTGGACCAATTCGCACGAGATGACAAAGAAATGCGCGAAGCAGTATTAACGTAAATGGTATGTTATCGTAAGAATATAACATTTCTCTCCGCTCCAACCTTACGGTTATGTCGTTCACAATTTCCTGTACGTATTATTTTACAAAAGTGTCGGGTCACTACCGTAATTGCACTTTTGATACATTTACAAGTACCATACATGAAAGAAGTGGGATAAATTTGTATAATTATTACAGAATAATATTTATCTAACATGTCCATGTAATTGGTATATCCTAGTTCTTTCTCTTTTTTTAAACTTTAAGGGATGACTCCTTCATTATATTTCAGTTTGCTGCCCCGTATTGCACTTCAACGCCTATCTGGTGTGAATTGATCAGAATCAATTCTTGAAGTACATCACGCAAATATAACTCTATTATATGTAGACTAGAAAATTGATTTCTACTATTTGTTTTACATAAGATATAGGATCGATCAGACCATTTGGCACAGATGAAAAAAAGCACTATGCACAATGTATTTTGTGTTGTAATTATTTTTACTGCCATATTATATAAAATTTCAAAAATATAGTTATATGGAAAAAGAAATTTATGAGTGTAAATAACATAAGACGAAATATCTGATTTTTTTAAGTATTTAAAAAATTTGGGCAATCAGACTTACTGTAACAAAAGATACCAAAGTTGTACTGTTTTTATAAAATTACCAATATTTAATTTCACAATTAATTATATGCAAACTACTTTGGTTACACGATCCAAAGTGTACCAAATGTTGGTATTAACATTTGGGTTAAACAAAACCAAAAAGATAAAACATTTAAGAATAATAATACAATTTTGATAATAAATAAGTGCATAACACTTTTTTCATGATCATATGGTAATCCATAAAAAGCATTAAATTAAAACTGTAATTTATAGGATGTATGTGTACATGGATGTGTTCCTACATATAGATAAAACACCCACCTATACAGGAGTAATATTACTTTCATTAACTGAACTGTTCGATATAAAAAATATAAATGTTTAATTATATATTTCTACAAATCTACTGCAGTATTCTTCTTTACTTTTCAAATAAAATTCTTAGCAGATCTTCCGTACTACATTATTTTCTTAAGTACAGATTTTTTAATATGAACTCTGCTTATAGCACTTTTGCATCATAAATGAATTATTAAACATAATTTATGTAATTCTAAAGCATATTTAGTGATGGAGTGTGTACTGAAAGCTAGTTAAGCAAAGTATATGTAAGTAATAATGTTACATGTAAATATTGATAAAATATAGGTTGTTTAACAAAAGAACTTGAAAAGAAAGCAAATGAGTTTACTAATTAAATGAAAGCCACTGAATCATGTAACCAGAGTGAACTGGAAAAATTACAAAGGTAACAACTAAAAAATTGAAGATGACATCAAATGTACAGATGTCTGATTGCTTCTGTGTTAATGTTAAGAAATATCAAAATGGGATACAAAAATGCTCTACAATAGCGCAAAAGTGCCAATGGTATGTCATCGATATTCAATATGTGATAACTGTTGAAATACACTCACCGTTGATGATAGGATTTCATGTGGACAGCATGCCAGTAAAAAGCTCTTGCACACCTTTGGATCCGAGTACTTCACTTGAAATTTGTTATTTTCACCTAAAAACATAAAATATTTATCAGTATAATAACATCTATAAAGTAGATAAATATACGTGTAATGGTAGTGTAAGCCACCATCTTGTATTTTTGTATGAGATTTCAGGTAATTGTAAATAATGATACTGTAAGAAATATGGAAATTATCGTAAAAGGTAATAATACGTACCGTTCCGTCCAGTGCCCATTAACTGGTCAAGCATAGCTCGCATTTGGTCGTGAGCAGTCATTTTTCAGAGAAAGTGCAATATTTCAGATACACTGTCAAAAATGGGGGAGAGCAATCAGCCACGCCGCCAGCCTTCGAGTTTCGAGTTATTGTCCAGCTCGTATTTATCGATCAGAGTATCGTTCACCGCCAACCGTGTATGTGTGATCCGTACAGGTCATTCTAGGAAATGCACGAAACTTTTTGACTATGCACCATTCCAGCCAATAACATTGCAGATCTTATACGAGACGCACAGAGACTCCATATGATTGGTTGGCGGGTTATTGAAAAGATTTGATCTGAAGGATAAATGGACGACTGAAATGTACTATATTTTTCAATGATCAAATTATTTCACAAATAATATTAGGATTTTATAACTTTATAAAATAATGTGTAACCTTCAAATTGGTATCAGAATTCTGTAATTAAATTTTCTGCGATTGTTTAGACATTGTAATAAATGGAAACAATAAACAAGCATTTATGTAATAGAGTAGATTCGTGTTAATTATTTATATAATATGGAATATGAAATCAATTTTCTGATAATCTTCTACGTTCATTCTGAATCTAGGGAGTTCAATTAGCTATATATTCAGTGTACTAGTAACCCTTCTGCGCGTGTGTAATACGCGCCGGGGGTGGTTAGTCGATGGTTCGGTATACGAACGTGAAAAATTGCAATTTCGACGAAGATTCGTTTGATGTTGTTTGTGTGATTTGTACCCTGGAAAGCGATATCGCGTGTACTTTTTTTCTAATTTGGAGTTTTTTGGGAAACGACATTTAGATAAGCGACAAGTGTGAGAAAAGCAACAATAGAACTGTAGCGTATAGTACGCACGCGGTGTCTAAAAATGGCGAAGGTGTTTCGCGCGGTGACAGTATCGACTTTGTCAAACAATGGACAGTCAACAGCGAAATATAATAAGCCGGTCACAGTCAATATTAACTATGATCCGCAAGGTCTCAGTGTTGAGTTTCTTGCAGGTACTAATTCATCGATAAATCATCTTTTATGAATTATGTTAGCGTCGTTACAGAACGGGCAACCTAACCACATTTAAACAAGCGTTTATGATTTTTTTTTATTATAATTCAACGAGGATTTGTTAATATGTTATAAAGATTAAGTTTCAATAAACAATTTTCTAATTCTTCTTGCAAAAGATTTAAAAAAACAAAATATTTATTCTTCATTGCATAATGTATTTAAATACGATCTTTTATTTTCTCATGTTATTATATTTTTATATCTTAGAAAATATTTATTTATATTCTCTTTATGTACAAATCATATTATGTTTTCATATGTCATAACAGGAGATTCGGTGGGTAGAGATAAAACAACACTGTTGGAATTTCCAGTAACTCCTAGTACTGAATGCTCAAGAGTATCATCCAAAAGTTATGTATTTACGCTTGATACAGATAGTTTACTTATAACATTTGCCAATGAAACAGGTAAGCTGTTTGAAAATTATACTAAAGACATACCAATTTGAAAGATTACATGTTATTAACAGAATGATGTAATTTTTTCTGTATAGATTTTAGAAACTTCCATTCACAAATATTAAAACTGAAAAATGGTAAAGGTGTGTCTGCATTTAACGAAAGAACCGAAGAATCTTCTGCCATGCAATACTTTCAGTTCTATGGTTACCTATCCCAGCAACAAAATATGATGCAAGATTATATTAGGACCAGTACATACCAACGAGCAATTCTGGGGAACCTGTCTGATTTTAAAGATAAAGTTGTTCTAGATGTCGGTGCTGGTTCTGGGATATTGTCGTTCTTTGCGGTTCAAGCAGGTGCAAAAAAAGTATACGCAGTAGAAGCAAGTAATATGGCAAATCATGCAGAGTTATTAGTCGCCGCAAATAATTTATCAGATAAGATCATTGTCATAGCTGGTAAAATAGAAGAAATTGATTTACCTGAAAGAGTAGACTGCATAGTTAGCGAACCTATGGGTTACATGTTGTATAACGAAAGAATGCTTGAAACTTATCTTCATGCAAAAAAGTGGCTAGTTCCAAGTAAGTAATTAACATTTGTTTCTTGTTTTTCATAATCTTTATAGCAGCAATTAAATAATTATTTCATAGGTGGAAGAATGTTTCCTTCCCGGGGTGATCTTCACATTGCACCATTTTCTGACGAAAATCTTTACATGGAGCAATTCAATAAAGCTAATTTTTGGTATCAAACGTGTTTCCATGGTGTAGATCTCTCAGCAATGAGAAATAATGCAATTAAAGAGTACTTTAGACAACCAATTGTTGATACCTTTGATATAAGAATTTGTATGGCTAAATCTATCAGACATATAGTAGACTTTCAAACTGCTAATGAGACTGATTTACATAAAATAGGTAAAACTTACACATGATCTTCATATTAGAGGTCCTCGATGGTCACGAGTATTAAATCGTTTATATATTCTTTAGAAATTGATGTTGATTTTCATATACTGGAAAGTGGCACCTGTCACGGGCTTGCATTTTGGTTCGACGTTGCATTTATTGGATCGACACAACAGGTTTGGTTAAGTACAGCTCCCACGGAACCGCTTACACATTGGTACCAAGTTCGTTGCCTCTTGGAAAATCCATTGTTCTGTAAAAGTGGTCAGTTATTATCAGGAAAAGTAATTCTTGTAGCAAACAAAAGGTGAAGCTAATTCTTGCAACTTCTAATCATTCGTTAACGTCGGTTACACGTGCAATTTCATACATTTTCTAGACAATCATACGACGTGACAATAGAACTGAAGTTAGAAGGAACGAATATGGAAAGTAGTAGTAATACTCTGGATTTGAAAAATCCGTACTTCAGATACACTGGTGCAGCAGCACAGCCACCTCCTGGTTTAAACAATACCTCGCCTAGTGAATCGTACTGGACGACTTTAGATGCTCAGGGTGCTAGGCAAGCAGTAAACATGGTTAATGGAATGTCAGTAAACGGTTTGGGAGAAGTCTCTATGGATGCAACCGCAGCTGTAAATCCTAGCAATTTACTTGCAATTGGTAAGAACACGAAGATACATTTATACATTTGTACGAATAATATTGTGAGTTAATATTCATCTAATATGTGAATTTTTATTTTAGGAATAAATTCATGTTCAAATAAACTTAACCACCAATATTCACTCTTTAAACACGTATATTACAACGATCAAGATCTTATTTTCCCACCTATTAATTATATCTATGCTCTAGGAGGTCAACCAAACATACACCCTGGTTCAATTTCGAGTACAGGACGAGGACGAGTGGGAGGTACAGCGACAAGTACACAAGCGGCACAACTAATAGGTGGTGGAATAACTCCGAACATGTTCACATCTCCTGCGACGGTAAGTTTATAAAATAACATTGTAAATTTCAAGCGAGCCGTATTCAAGAAATTGACGAGTACTTAACGGTATTCGTATTTCTGTGCGGTGGAATACCTACACCGAAAAACAAGAGCTCGCTAAATAATTGATTTCAATTGTAATGGAAAAAAAAAGGATACTAAAGTGTACGCCTGCCTGCGTGTCTTTCGCGCTACAGCTTGGTGTTACTTTCCAGCAATCGCTGGTCCTTGGCAATACCTCACATTACCCAGTGAATCCAAGCTTGATGATCGGAGATTACGTGACACCTGGTAACGGGATATCGTCTCAAACGTATCGGCAATGATCAATGGCGAAATCATTTTGCACCGAGTATTCCCATACGGCAAAACAATTAAACGATCGTCATAGCAGTAGCAGTAGCGGGGACACCGGCAACAATAATAAGCAAACCCGCAAGTTGGTGTTTAGTTCTCCAGCAAGCAAATTACGACTATCGTCTGCGGTTCGAATTTTGAACGCAGTCAATCTGGCCAATCTTAATTCGAACATTGGCCAAGTTAATAATAATAACAACAATAACCACAATCTTGCTTACTTTAACAAAGTTATTATCGGTTCTGGATTCGGATTTGGATGGAGTGCGAGAAGAAATAAGTCACAATGGGAAGCACGTTGGAGGAGAGTGCGAACCGTCCTCTCGTAGTTGTCATTAATTTTTATCTAATTTTATTTAATTCTCCCCTCGAAGTGTTGATCTTCCAGATCGTAAATGCATGCTTGCCAAATGTACCCGGGATAAATCATATTTTTTAACGACAATACAACTTTACTATGCATAAATGTTCCATGCGACACTATTGTACACGGGGTCCTGATATCATTTTGTACATCAAGAACGAATAACATGAGCAACCAGCAAGAGTAGTAACACATTACAATTTCTCCCTTTTCGTTTCGCGTGCTTTCAAAACTTTCATTATTGGTAATTATGCATCTACTAAGCTTTTTACATTGTACACGGGCTTGGTTGAGCGATTTTTACATGACTAGGGTATAATATATAACGTTCCGAATATTTCGAAAAAGTGCAAAAAGCAATAATTCAATTAGGGATACGATATGGAGCACTCTGTGGCATTGCCTGTTATTTATCTACCTTTTTTTGTTTTTTTAAGGTGATTACATTCAACGTATTTGTTCTATATCTTTTTTTTTCTTTCATTAAAATACAAAAAAATATATATATAATAATAGTACGTCCAACTTGAGAATGTCAGTTAACTACTGTACTGTTATCTTTGTTTTTAATTAATAATACTTTCAATCATTATTTATAATTCATAAGAGAAAAATTGTATATAATAATTACGCAAATCGAACGATCCAATGATATAATTTATGATAAAAGTAAAAAAAATTGATATTCCAATACAACAATGATAACTTAAGTTGCGGTTCATATTTAGACGATTTATTATTGTATTATTGCAATGTACAGATTTTAGGAGTAGCATGTACAGGCACAATTTCAAATTTGTGACATTGTATTACATATCGGCCTTTGGTCAATAGGATTAATTCTATACTTTTAATGTACTTCTCTTATAGTAGAATTATCGCCTATGTACGTCTCTTAATAATTAGTCATTTCATTGAGTAACCAAATTTTTTTTTTATTGTCAACGATATTTACTACTTCTGTAAAATATTATCATTTATGATACTTCAGTATTTATAAAATAGGATTATACATACAAAGAACTGAGGATATGATAAGATAAACGGATTTCATTAATTTTCTCTTTTTCAGTATAATTATGTTCATATGTTTGTGTCTATGTTTTTCTTATAAAATAGAAGGTTTACAAAGTCCGTTTATTTCATTATCTTACCGTGCAAAATTTAGTTACACAATGAGATAGAGTTAAGAAAACAATTTTTTTATAGGCTTGAGATAATCACTTATTTAATTCTACTGAATGACTAAGAATTTATTTCCCAATTAAAAGTACAGGTAATCTCCTGATAATGAAATATCCTCGCAACATTTGTATAATTGTAGTAAGCATGAGTCAATACTCATTTTGATGGTGTTCTTATTTCATAGTATTTAAATAATATGAGCTTGCAAGATCCATAAAGAAACGTGATTTTAAACTTAAAATACTTTTCAAAGATATTTCTATTCTCGAAGTTCAACTTATAGTTCTTTCTTTTTTATATATATATATATTATAGAAAAATAAAACCTCTGAAACTGATCAAATTCCTTTTCATATCATCCCTAATTTAGATGGTTTCTGCTCCCTGTTTTTAACCCCCCCCCCATTATCGGAGGGTTACCTGTTACTCGAATAATTGTACATATGATATTCTTAATTTTTTCAAGATCTCGATATAACATTTAAGTCTCATTAGTTCCTAAGGAGTGCTCTTTATTTGTTATCTGCACAAATTTGCTTCTCGTTTTAAGATGCTACTCATTTTACATATTTGAAAAATTGCTTTCTCGCTTGTATAATTACTTTTGAGAGAAGCAAACCATTCGTTTTTAAAACAGCTTGTAGTATTACGACTTAATTATCTAGGAAACCATATTTCTTCGATTATTTTGTGATCGAATATTTCCATATAATTTTTCACTGAATAGTACTAAAACTGTAAATAATTTTGCTAATATTCTTTGATGTTTGCTTAAGAACATATTGTATTTAGTATTTGAAAATCTGACTGCAGGCATTCCACAAGTGCTGATAACATTATACAATTCGTTATTATATAACAAAATACATGCTTCTTCCAGTCTCATTCTTTCTCTTCAAACAAAAAAAAAAAAAAATATCTAAGGAACATTAAAAGCAATATTTAGAATTGAACGCCTACTAAAGTATTAGTTTAACTGTGTGTGTTTTAAGTTTCTACAGGAGAGACAAAAGATTGAATAAAACTAAGCATACCTTTTGATATTTTTTTCTAGATATTGCTTTCAGTGTTGGCGTGTGTACGTTCGTGTGTATGTGTTTTCTTTTTTCGTTTTAGAAAATTTTTAAACGACTGAAAGATACAAAATGTCTCAGGTAGCCATGCGAGTTTAAACGAAAACAAACACTGTACATTTTTCCACTATTTTCTTAAAATATGCGTTTATCCGTTGGAAATTCTAATTTTACATAAATATGAGTTCTCATTTACCCGTATTTACCATGATATTGAACTTAATAAATACCATATTGCTTTTACCGCTTTTATAAAAGTTTATGTGTTAGTAAAGAAATTTGTTACCCGATAATGCCATTTCTGATATTGTTTTTACAACTTGTGAAGTTTTCCTCTAACATGTGATATACAAAGAGTTATCAAGAGACATAGGGAATATTAAGTACTGATTTATTTACAACAGGAAGTCTTCAATTTATGAAGTGTTGAGTACAATAACGTTCTTTGGTAATATTAGATAGTTAAAGCACTCTATTCCAATACTTCCTGTAATTAATTTTTTTTTTTTAATAAAACTAAAGAGTTATTGCTTTTAATCTGACTTCGTTGCAGTAAATCGAAATTTCTTATTTATTATTCATTCTACATAGAGAAAATGTGTACTTATATTATTTATCTATAGTCTTATAGTTCCAATGAGTATCAAAATTTTTTCTTCATCATCTGTTGTAATAAAATATTATGAAACATCACGAGTTTCTTACTAATTTATAAAGTTAGAATTTACCGTAATGTATTATCAATAAGTAATCAGTAGTTGTACATAAGCTCAATGATTACATTGCTTTTAAGAAATTGTCTTTTAATCACGATAAATAATATCCACGTCATTTTTTGTTTGATTTAGACTGCTTAAGAAACGGAAAGAGAAGCAAAAAGAGACTAAATGGATACCCTTAAATTAGACGACATTAGGATCCCAACAAAGATATGTTCAGCTTTGTGAAATGCATACGTAAATGTGATTATCACATTATCACATTTATGTATGTACTCGTTCGTGATATATAAAAGTTTGCCTATGTCTTTTTTATGTAACGATGATATCTGTATGTATAAACGAATCATGTTTTATACGATTACAACAATTACAAAATCCGCTTATACACACTCGTGCATTGTATTTCGATTATTTTACATTTAGTGCATGGACAATTATCCTGTAATTATTCTCAGGTGAATATGCCATAAAGTTCGATATGTACGATGTGGATTGATTGTCCTGAACACCAGGAAATAATCGAATAGAATTAGAATCAAATTAAACATTGATATGCATTGTACTGATACATCATAGCATTTATAAACTCCATCTAATGGTACATCGAAGAGGAATTGTACACAAAATAAAAAGTCTTTGATGCATAAATTAAATTGATTGAACAAGCTAAATCTTTAAGAAACATAATTTGATTCACTGATTCAATTTACATTAATCTATCCGACAGTCAAATTTAATATTAGAGCGAATCAAATTTAGTTTGAATTTCTTGTCAAGTATTTATTACAGTTTTTGTATGAACACATAATGGTCTGAAATTTTATGTCCTACTGCATATCGTTTTTTGTAATATGGATTGGTATATGATATTTTAATTCGTGTATAATGTATGTGTAAAAAAAAAAATGTAAGAAATTTGATCTTTCTTCAAAGATTTAGTTGAATGAGATAGAAAGTAAGCACAGTATTTAAGAAAGAAGTGTAACATGTTAGAACAGATTTGCTTAGTACTTGCAATTTACTTATTTGTAAAGTATTGAATTTTGTATTCTGCCAATGTTTCTACAGACAAATGAAAAACAAAATCACTCAGATATTACATCCCAGATCTGAGATTAAGTTGAAATAAACTTATTTACTTCAATATTATGGTGAAATTCGTTCGTGAAATTCTTCTTTTATTTTTCCCGCCCCACTATATCTATAATTCAATGATGAATTTTCCTTCACAGTTTTAATGATTAAAAGCATGATATTAAACCTGTCCAATCTTTTATACGGTTCTATTACGCGGGAAAGGAAATTTTTAAAAAATTTGAGACAGCGCTATCTAGCGGATATATACGTATTTACAATATACATTGTAATTCGAGTTGTGGTAAAACAGGCAAGATTATCGGCTGTACTTCCGAAAACTTCCATGCTCCAAATAGGCTGAAATGTTGGGAATAAGTTTGTTTTTAATAAAAATCATGATCCCAAGAAGGATTTTTGGCGACTCGAGAAAAAATGTTTTATCATTTGGGTGTCATTTCCTACTTTACCGACGCAATTATAACGGCGGGAATACTTTAGGCAGATTTGAAAGCGGTTCTGATGCTGTAAAATCTGCTATTTTCAATTGTTTTTCAAAAGGTATCGATGTATCAAGAATACTAGAATTACAATGTATCATTAATTATGTATATTCTGTATATCAATAAAACTTTTATACAAACCTAATTCAAACTTTAACTTCAGTGACTTTGATTAGGCTAGGTCAGATGAATATTCCGGCCGCCGAAAGACGGCTGGTCACGCATGCCAAAATCATTTATTTTTTGTAGAAAGCGTAGATAACAGTAGATGCACATACTATGCCGGTAAAATAGGGAGTGACATTCATGTGATAACAAATTTTTTTTCGAGCCGCCAAAAATCCTTCTCGCAATCATCATTTTTATCAAAAAAGAATCTATTTTCAAAATTGAAGCCAATTCGGAGCATGGAGGTTTTCGGAAGTTTAGCCAGATTATCATTACCAACTGTGCTCTGTATATGCAGACCTAACATTACCTGGGGATGTCTGGACCCCCCAAGAAATAAAGCATGTCCAGTCTTTCTGTATCTGTAGTCACTGTGTAAATTGCAGAATGTTCTATAAATGTGGTGCAACGTGTGTTTTCGGTTGTAACAAGACTAATTTTTCATGTACATTACAAAATTTAACAATATAATAATATGATGACATGCAGAGTTGAAAGAAATTTTAAAATAAATGAATGTGTTCAATGTGTTATACATTTTATAACGTCTATAGATCTTAGTTTCATTTAATTTTTTCGTTTCATTCATGAAATGGTGAGATCTACGATTGAAATAAAATTTCAATATGTACAAAAATTCTTAGTACCATTTCTTTGCTTAAGTGTAATAGCCTTATTTATTTATTTAAATCATGTACAACCTTATTATTATATTGATGAGGTTTTCCACATAACTCAGACATTACAATATTGTGATGGCAACTTTACCCAGGTATGTTTTTGTTTTTAATTCATTTTTATTTTTCAAAGTTTGCTGCATTAATAATTTGAAATATTGAAATATTCACTCTTTAATTTATAATTAAATACATCTGAAAAATGCCTCAGAATATATGTAACTTAATAAATTGAATTCGAGGGATGTATTATTTTCAGTGGAATCCAAAAATTACTACTTTACCTGGATTATATATTCTAGCAACTTTAATATTGTCACCCTTAAAACTTTGTAACATCTTTTATTTGAGATGTATAAGTTTACTTGGAATATTTTTAAGCCTATATCTTATTAACGGTATACTTAAACAAATTTCAATAACGCATTGGATGCAAAGATGGGATAAACGGATAAGATTTGCAGTGGCTTGTAATATTATGTTTTTTCCACCTTTATTTTTCTGGCATTTCTTATATTATACCGATGTTATATCAATTGATGCAGTATTATTGATGTTATTGTTACATCTACATAAACAGTTTAAAATGGCAGCTATTGTAGGTATGTATGAAAGTAACTGAACATGTGATACATTGAAACGAAAAGTTAGAAACTACAATGAATATTGCATAGGTTTTTTGTCTGTGTTCATTCGGCAAACAAATATCATTTGGGTTGCATTTCTTACCATGGAGCGTGGATTTGATTTGTTAGATAATAAAATAGGTAAATCAATTTCACCAGAACAATATAGTTCAATAACTTATTTGAAAGTGAGTAAATTATTATCAAGAAAAGCATAAATATATTTTATCCATCTAATATTATATACTTTTTAGCTGCTGTGGAAAAAAATAATAGATGAAGTATATGGCGGATGGAGATCACTTGCAAAATTTATAAGTGAAATATGCATAGAATTGTTTCCATATGCTGGAGTATGTTTGATGTTTGTTGCATTTGTTTTTTGGAACAAAGGAATTGTAGTTGGAGACAGAACAGCTCATACTCCCACTGTTCACATTCCTCAGTTACTATATTTTTCTGCGTTCCTTTTTTCTTTCTCATGGCCATATATGATTGTTTATTGGAAAGATTATTTGAAATTTATCTGTAAACATTGGATTCTTGAAAGTCTCATTCTGATACTTCTAACTTTAATAGTTCATTTTAATACTCTTGTTCATCCGTATGTATTGGCTGACAATAGGCATTACGTGTTTTATTTTTGGAATAAGTTTATGGGTAGATACTGGTTATTCAAATATTTGCTAGTACCTGTACATTCATTCACTTTGTACACAATGTTATGCGGGATGAAACACTTAAGGTTCGTGTCCCAAATCAACTATATTTTTATGGTTTCTATAGTACTTGTTCCTCAGTTACTTATAGAACCACGTTATTTTATCATTCCATATATACTTTATCGTTTATTCATTCAAAAACCACTGAAGTGGCAAATTATAGCAGAATCAATGACTACATTAATAGTGAATTTTCTGCAGTTCTATATTTTTGTTAACAAGGTATTTTATTGGAGCGATCAACCCCATCCTCAAAGGATTTCTTGGTAAAATAAAGCAGTGTATATCGAATTTCACATAATGTCATTTCTTTAATAAATCATAAAACTTTCAAAGGTGTTATATTATTTTCCTTTGAAATGATAATCGTAGACGTTATGTAAATTAGAATATCACATCATCATTTATTACTTTCATTACATTCTTCTCTAAGGAGTAGTAACTATATAAGTGTGAATGGTTGCTCACACACTGTAGTCCTTTCTATTCGCATTATGATCTAGATAATTTGAATAACGTAACGCGACTAGCAAATATCTCGACTAAAATCAGTTGGTTATTTGTACTAAAAGAAATCCGTATGTATAAAAGTTGATACGAAAAAATGAAATAACGAAATTTCTACGTGCATCCCAACATTTCTTTATCCAGTTATTCCGTAATTAAGATATGTTTTAATCGAAGCAACGGTACTCGTAAAACACACCTAGAAAATGGTAATTAGTTTCAATACATTTGGAGGGATTTCATTATCTTCCTACATTGTGATTATGACTACCTTTGTCGTTTCATGTTTTACACTTTCAAACGTTATCTTGAAAATCTTTATCAAAAAACTTTTCTTACGCCGTCAGTCTTACAAGTATGTACTTCATTTACAGTGTCTTTTTACGAGTATCGTTACTATTGTTCCATTGTTATCCGCATAATCTTTATCGTACGAAAACTTATAGCTTCAATAGTAATTTCGTTCAAGATTAGAAATTTAATTGTATGTTTATCAAGAAATTTTTATGCTGATACACCGTGAAATTAAATCGATAAAACTGGATACGTATCACGTAAGTAAACGTTATGACACCTGATGCAATAATTTTCATTTGAAAAGAACAACTGCCGAATCATACTACTGTAACAATCCCGCTGTCAAGGATTAACCCTTAACGTACCAAAGGAGGTCCTCGAAGGTGCGCCTGCGCAATTATGAACAGGCGGTTCCCCTTCACTTCGAAATAAAAGGGAGCTGCTATCTTTTGGCCCCCCCAACAATGCTTATTTAACTAAAATATATTTTTAGACATCCAAAGAACCTAATTTGAGTAACCTTTCACACTAAAATGTTGAGAAATTTTAAAAATACCATAGGGCCCGCGTTAATGACCTAGGCTTGGTATGTTAAGGGTTAAAAGGATAGAAATAAAGAATGGCGTTGTATATATTGTCGAAGTTAGCGCCTTAGTGCCTTAGAAAAGTTGTAGCTACACTTTCATCATTCGTTAAACAACTTGTCACGTGTATTATGTGCACACTTCGAACACGATAAAATCCGAATAAATTACACGCTTTAAATTGCCAGGGTCGGCCCTGGGCCTAGCCAGACTAGGGCCGCCTAGGGCCCCTATAAGACGATTTTGCGTCTAAGAATGCAAGAAGAGTAATGTTTACTTGATGTAAATGCAAATCTAAATTAGTTATACAAGCTTTAATGTTAATTTTATAACTTTTATTTGAGGTACTTTGTGTGAAGGGGACCTTTCTCGGAGCTAGTCTCGGACCCCAGAAATCTCAGGGCCGGCCCTGTAAACTGCCATGTGGAAAGTGCGTGTCTGCCTGTCGGTAATTTCGAACGCAATTCAAGTACTCTTGAACATGATTAGATAATCTGAAAATTGTTTTTATTTTTATTTCGCATGATAAAGATTAAACGTGCCATTCAGTTCTATGCTTCATAAAGTCTTTAGCACCCACTCACGCAAATATTTAATTTGCAAGAAGCCATCATTATCTAATAACAGATTATTGCTTTCACGATAAATCTCCGCTCGTTTAAGGTAGACCCTACTCGCCTCAATTTCATTTAACTTAACAATTTATACATTGTTTCTGTAAATATTTAAATAAAATCATGTGTAACACCGATATGAAATAATCATAATTTGTTTTCCATATTGTAAATTTAAAGAAACACATTACAATTAGAATTTCATGTTGCTGCATTAGAAGATTATTTTGTTTCTCGAATAACAAGGGCGGAGATTAAATCTTCGATCGACTTTCAATAATTAAAAATTCAGCCACAAATTTTCTTGTGGCCCAAGAATTCTTCTATATCACTTGCATTACTTTGGTAATCAATATTGCATAATAAGATGTTGATTCAAAAAGTCTGTTACAATTTTAAAATAATTCTTTGATCATCGCCTTTATTCTATCTTTGGCCTTCGTTCTTAAATGAACAAATTTTTACAGTGTAATCTTGTCGCAGACCTTTTGAAACATTTTATTACATTGCATTTCATTCTTTTTTCCTACCTACGCATGCATTCGATATGAATATCCACATTTCACGACTAAAACGTTCTCTGCCGTGAATTGTATAACAATCATTCTTATTTCTTACGAAATTTCAAAGTCCGTTAAAAACTGGTGCACTTCCTGTCTTTTCGCACCGACGTATTTGTTATCCCCTTAGTGACTGATTATTTTAATGTATCATATACATAAATATATAGGCGACCTTTTATTGAAAATAATGTAAACTAGCATCTTCAAAGGGGTGAAAAATCAGAATAGTTTTAATTATAAAAATTAGTATCCTTACGTTATAAACGTAAGTATTCTATCCCTTTTGTATACCTAAAGAAATACTATTTTGCAGGAAATAACTCTACACACTTGTTTGATACATGACGAAAATATTGCACTGCAAAGGTATGTTCTCAGAAAGAATATTTGTTCAACGATAAGTACAAAAAAAGTAACTATCATCCTATTAAAAAACCTAGTAAATCTCTCTCAGATAAAGTACGACTAAACCTAGGACGAACGACGAATAAATAGCTTTGTAAAGCGAAACGGAAGATAATGCGTGACACTGTATTCCTCTATGAGGCTTTTCCTATTATAGTTTTCCTACATCCTGTGACATCATCGCGCCAATTAATATTCAAACAAATCACTTTCCCGGGCTAATTGGTCATTGACCTACAGAGTACATACTGATTACAGTAACAGTTAAAACCTAAATGTTAATATATAAAATAATTATCAAGCTATGCTATGCAGAGCTATATCTTTTTGCAACAAAATTTAGTATTTGTAGTCTGCCCTTCCTAGTATTCCACTTTTCTCCAGATTAACTTCGAGCTATTATAGAAAGCTACATTCTATTCAAAATCATTTGACTGTTACAGAATATCGAGATAATAAGATTTGTTGAAATCCTTTGAACAAGCCAAATGATTCTGAACACACAACTTCCCATAAATTCCTTTAAAATAAGAAAAATAAAAATAAATCATTGCTATACCAACCAGTAACTTACGATACTTCAGGCACTGAATCACTTTGTTTCTCGTACATACGGATGATTCAAAAATCAAATTGAGCTGGAAAATTCTGAATTCAACATCATACTATCTGTTGTTTCAATTTAACCAGGTTCGTTTCACCGTACAGCTTCATATCTAGCGGTGCACTTGGCTCGTTCTTCTTAGTCTGCGTGTGCCACGCGAGAACCTTCGTGCAATTGTCAGCCAAAAACTCGATGTCTTTTGGCTCGAACGGAGCGAGACTTTTTAGGAAACCATCCTCCTCGTAGCCAGCCTTAAACGGCATGGTGGCGTTCGGTCGTTGATGCAGGAATTTCACGCTCACTGCGAACCCTGCCATATCTACAGGGAACTTCCGGCCAGCTATCCAACCGTCGTAAAATCCGACGAACTTTTCGTTCTTGATAATTGGAGAGCTCAAGCCAAACTTTGTGCACAATCCCACGGGGAACATTGAGACTTTCTTCGTTTTACGTATCTGAAACACATGATACGATTAATAAGCAGGAAAACTGATGAATAAAATTAACTGAACACCACAACAAAGCTTAAAGAGTAATTTTTCTAATTTAACACTAGATTTACCGGACCAGTCAATATGAAGTTTTTTATTTTAATAATTATAATTTTATTATTATAATCTTTTGCCGTATCATTTTTAAGACATTAAGACACCTTTTAAGCAAAAAAAGAAATTTCTACCTTTTCAAAATTCTAGAGTAGCCTAACCTCTTAAGCAACCAATTGGCCAACTATGTCTTCCTATATTTAGCAAGGATGCTTAGGTAGATTGAACTCCTTTTCTATTTATCACCTAAATATCGCAGTCGACATATGTATAAAACTTTCATACCTCATCGAAAAGGCTTATATCATACGTATTATCATCGTCAGCGAAATAAAAAACGCCATTGGTCGCGTTTGCCCTGATCCACTGTAAACCACGGTTCCGATTAGACACACCCCGTGGTTTGGCACCTTTCTTCTGCTTGTACTTTTCGGGCATCGGGGCTGAAAAGATTAGAAAAGCGTTAGAGACACGTCGAACCCTGGCCCGTCCAATATTATACATAAGTTAACTCGTGCAAAGGCTGACACGATTCTCGTTTGGAAGACCACGGCTACATATTTAACGTACACTGCGGAGCTACAAAATCAATATAACGCTTTTTCATCGAGACCTTTGCGGTTGTTCCAATTAATTCTCTAACAAGTCGGTCGATCAACCAAATTAATCTCACTGAAACTATTTACACCGGTCGTGTTCAGTCGTTTACTGAAAGGATTTTGGAAACTTTTAATATGTACCCTACCGTCCATAAGGCACACTCTCTAAAACAGAGTACTCTTTTTAAAATTGGACCAAATGACTTGAGGTTTTTCAAGGAGCTATACAAATTAATTTAAGATATATGCTTTTGTCGTATTAATAAAATTACAATTTGTCGCTGAGGGGCACTTTTTATAATTCTTTCTTTTGGGCTTGCAATGAAAATTAATTCATTAATTCTCTTGATCTTTTCCTTCAGGAAACAAAATCAGAAAGGCTATAATATATCGTTACAACGTGTCTCGACACCTGCGATCTTCACCAAACTTGGTATCCTGGTAGACCTTGACCCCCTCAGTAACCATCTGCAATATTATTTGGTAGACTCTTTTAGTTCCTGAGATATGAACATCCAAAGTTCAATGAAATTCCCCATAACCAGTCAGAACCAATTGCAAATGCATGAAAAGCATGGGTCACCATGAAGAAACGAATTTTGACTTTCCCAATCAAGAGAAGAGCGACTTTTTATCTTTCGGAAATTTTGCTGGTTTTAGCCTACTTTTATATCATAAAACGTATTACTCTTCCATTCTCTGGAACCCTAGTACCTATACCTAAATATTTACCAGTTAAATGTTCAAACTTTAATCCCGTTCGTTCCAGTAGCCTGGTAACTTGTCTGGTAGCGGTAATCGCGTCTTCTATAACGAGCCAATGCACGTTCTTCACCAGCATCAAAGTGTGCGACATTCTGGTGAGCTCTGGTATCTGTTCAGGCCTTCTGTACGTCGGCGTGATTATGTAGAGCGGTTCCAGCGTTTCGTTAGGCTTGGCCAGAGGCTGATGATTCAGCGTTACCATCGTCACTGACGGTGATCGTAAGATCTTGGAATTATTCTCGGACGATTCGAAGATATTCTTGTTCAAGTGATTCATTAGCTGTTGGACCAACAACGATGCCAGATCAGGGCTTAGCCCGTTCGTCTCTTGAACTCTGCGCACCGCGCTTTTGACCTGGAAAAGAAAAATAACAAACGGGAACCACGTTAGAACGAAACGAGTAGACCGAACTGGGTTTTAGAGAAAGCTTTTCGGATCTTAATTTGATCATAAAGTGTTCACCATTTGTTCCGTGAACTTGGACGTCCTTACATAATTTTCAACTTCCTCCTGAGACAGTACTGGCACGTCTACCGATCCGTCCGTGTTGAACATCTGATCAAATCGCACCCCGGTGGACAAATGATACTGGTAGAACACCACGAACACACCTATCACCGCGAGCATCCCCATTTTCATAGATGGCCTCATTATTCCGGGACCTGCAATCAAATAATTTCAATTGAATTTCAAAAGAATAGATTATAGAAATTCAGACTGGCTATCAGCTGTATCGGTGTGGTGCTTAATTCTTTCCCAGCTTTAAAATTGAACGAAATGACTCAAGGTTTCTCGAGGAGCTATACAAATTAAATTTAGCTTTAGCTTATCGCGATAAATTGAATTTCGAAAATGAATGAATTTGTAAAAATCAATAAACAACAATTATTTAATTTTCTGTTTAAGGGTTGAAAATGAGAAAAATGAAAATTTTACATAACGGTGTACTAGAAATCGGATGATCCTCTGATGGACCAGAACGAGAATTAATGAACGCTGTAAAATTAGGAAATGCATGCCTGTACCGTAAGGGAAACGATTAGATACGCGTATCCGGTGATACGCGCGTTCCTTTACACTGCTAGAACCGTGAAAGAATGCTACTGCTATTAACTACGAACGTGACATTCCCTGCCTTTATATCCGAAAAAATTAAACAAAAGACGAACGTGTTGATATCGTTGTTCACCTTGAACAAAATTTTCGTCTCGTTACGTCGAACGAATCGCAAACAATTCTAATAGCGTGTCATTATTAGGATTAAATCCGTTTCTGGATATTCAAACAAAAATATACATGGTATATTATCGTGGAGGGTCGCGTTTCCAGGTAATTCAAACGATCTTACACAGATTAACCGCGGTTTACGTACAGGGTGTACCTGGTTGAGAGATAACAGTTCTGAACGAGAATTCTCCGGCAAATAAGCGTATTTCCTCTTACCCGTGTCGTCAGGGTTTGGAAAGCATAATTAAACGGAGACCGTTTCGAATACACTGACTAATTATCTACATTTGATAATATTATAAACTCAATAATACGGTATCGGAATTTGATAGCGCACGTTCAAATTTGACATATTTATATTTATCTTTCAGCTGTATTAAACATTCCAATTGTATTATAAATTTTCCAATTATGATGAATATTCATCGTTGCGCAATTTTAACCCTTTAGTGAACGGCACATATTTTGTATGTGGTATTTCTCGCGAAAGTGCAGCTTCCGAAATATCCTTCTGTGGAAGTGCTACTTCAGAATTTCGTGATACCCCTGTATCTAACTTCCTGTTATACTTTATCAGTTCACTCGGCGCCCTCGCTTGAACTCGTCCTTATACGAGCTATGATTCAAATTTTCGTTTATAATAAACTCTTACTTTACGAAAGATTATTGAAAACGAAACTAAGCGTCGATTAGATCCAGCAAAGGCGTTTCGCATTCTCACTTTGATTTACACCTTCTTTTCAACGACACCAACAGGGTTTTCTATGATTTATAGATATCTCTAATGACTATTGTAAATTACAAGCTAGAAAAGATAAGATTCAAGTGTTTAGTTTACTATAGTTACTCTATCTAATCATTCATATTATTTTCTATTAATATGTTCGCTATTTGTATCGATGTGCAAACCATTAATTCTGATTATTAATATTCGCTATTTCTCAAAATTTTAATTAATACAGAGCCTTTAAAATAGTACATCTGTTCACTTTACCTATGTGTAATCAGTTTCTACGTTAAGTTTCGAAATATAGATCCAAAACGATGAAATAGATATTCACTTGTATTCGAAGAGAATAAAAAATACTACACAGTATCAGCTATCAATGTCGTCTGAACTACTATTAGCGACTCTCTTTCTGTGCTAATGATAAGGAGTGTAATGTTAATAAAAAAAAATTACGTTTTTACATATATGTTCATTAGTCAAATATCGCCGTCAGCTTATAAATATTGATGAAATTCCTTCTCATTCTAACTTGAAATTAAAAGAAAACGATCCAAATATTTACTACGAAGTAGAATGTAGATCATTTAAAATGATTGCGATATTGTTATTCAAATGAGTCAGCAGCAAGTGTTTTAATAATTCGTTGTGTAAACATTAATAATTATATAAAACCAAAATTCTTTAAGTTCGCTCAGCCTATTACCTCTATATAATTTACTTGTAATGTTGTTTCCGATAAATATTCGTCGAGTCTTGTTCCATCTTCGTTGAAAGTAGCATTGAAACTAGAATTCACCAAACAGTTTCTATGAACAATGCGCAACGTGTTTGCGAATTAATTAGTCAGCCGTTCAAGCGATAAAACACAAATGCCTTCTGTTATAATAAACCGGTAAACAGACTGAAACTAAATTATTCCTTACTAACATCCCCGTCGCGGCTTAGCCCGCTTTCGTAAACGTGTAAATAGATTTTAACCCTTTTTACACTCTTAAGGGTCGAATTTCTAAAAATCCCTTCTTAGTGGGTGCTTACGTCATGAGAGGAATACATTACCCGAATTTCATGTTTCTAGGTTCAGAGGTTAGGATTGGGCGTTAATGAGTCAGTCAGGACATTTGTCTTTATATGTATATATAGATTTAGTTATTTTTTTAAATTTATTTTACTTACTAACTGATTGGAACGCTAAATAAATGGTTATTGTATTGTGATTGATTTATTTACCTTTTTGTTTGAATATAACAACATGGCGGACGTTTAGTTTTCGCGCCAAAAGTGTAATAGTTCGAGAACTAGTGTTTTTTATCGAAGTAAATGAATCGACTGAAATAGGAACAAAGAGTTAAAATAAAACAAGAAAATATATAAATAGCATGTTAAAACACTGAACTATATAATAAGATGAAGTTTCAACGTGCGACATTACATAATCGAATTAAGGAATTGCAAATAGTCGAGTAAAAGATCGATTAGACTTAATTTAGCATCGTGACAGACGTGCGTCACTTGCTGTAACATCAACTTATGTAGGTCACAAAAACCTGCAATTCTCCAATTCTTTGTTAATGTTTTTAATTTAGTGGCGCCACACACCACCATTTTCCGTTTATTTTCACGAATTTATCCTCTTTCGTTCCGTCGATAGAAGTCCATCTAGCTTCGAGATTCGATTCTTTTCCCTCCTTTTCTAGTTTCGGTCACGAGAGAATCATTCTCGATTGTAATCGAAAACTATATACGAGAATGAAATCGAAAATATAATCATAACCTTTTCATTTTAAATTAACATTAAATGTAGATTTTCGCAATAATTTCAGACGGTCCTTGGCAATCGATTAATCCATCCTTGACACTAATATCGATCTAATAAACACGAAGGCACCCTATTCACATCGAACAATTAGAACTCACCAGATAACCGGTGTTCCTACTCCGCTTACAAGCCGTGACAGTTCTGCTTTGTTCACGTAGGGCACAGATTTTCACACATGTCAATAATATCGTGTGTTTTACACGACAATAAACACTTGTACGTTAGCTAAGGTATCGTTGTCATTTGATGTCATTAACAAGGAATCTCGATGTATCTCGATTGAAATTTCACACTTCTGACGTGTCTTGATCGGTAGCTCATCGTTCGTGTATCAAACCTTACCGTGCTCGATAAAGTGCACGGTTTCCGTTTGCACATCAATAGAATCTATGTCGCGTCCTCATGATTTTCAACGATGTCCCATTTGTTTAAATTTTATATCATTGATTTTCGTCTTGTCACAAGAAGGTCCACTTAATAACCGTGACAAACGGCCTCTCCATCGATGCACGATATCTCGTGCGACATATATATGCGACAAGTAGAATAACGAGTAATCACGGAATATTATTGCACGCGAGTAATTAGAATCTGAGTAATTACGATCGTGTCCGGAATAGCCGGCGATGGACACGCGTTGCCACTGTCATTATTCTACAGACTTACCGACACTTGAACATCACTGATATTCGCTTTTACCGATCTGGTAACATACTGATTGTTTGAAAAATGTATTTTTAGCGAACAGCTTAGCGCTGCCCCGAAACGTTGGCCACATGTCGTGCGCGAACCACCACCGATCGTTTCTTTCGGTGACGGGCGCCGTGTTTCGTGACAAAACTTGGTCGATCGTTTCCCTGGTCGCGTGTCCGCTTGCCGTGCGTTTCGTTCGAGTACTGTCAGCGAAAAACGGAAATGGCACGCCTCATGGGAAAATCCGATCGAAGGACGACACGACAACTTCCCTTCGTCGGCCGATACTAAACTGCTTCTTCGTCGCATTCCCCCATGATCCGTCTACGTTTCGTATACCCCCCCACCTATTTCGTTTCAGCTGGCGCAGCAGCCGACGCCGTCATTGCACTTATGCGATATATCCATGTACCAGGATATACGGGGTGTTTCATAACTTCTGTAACGCCCAAAAATGGGGGTTTGCTGGGGTGATTCCGAACAACTTTTTCCCTTATCAAAATGTTGGTTGAGGCTTTGTTTTTGAATTATTAACGAAAAACATTGGCCAATCAGAGCGCGCGCTGAGAGCGTTGGCTCTCAACCGCGGTCGAGATTGGTCGAAATGTTCGGGATTGGTGTTAATCCCGATGGGATTGCGCTGGAAATAATTAGACACTTGCTGGTTCGATTTTCGACAATTAATTTATTTGAATCACGCATGAAATAAAATATACAAATTGAGTCAGATCGTGAATAGACGCATTGACACAGCGTGGGTATCGAGGGAAACGTGCGACTAATTTCACATTGTTCTTAACCCATTAACTACCAAATTTTTATTTTGGATATTTTTAGTTTATTTAATATAATCCTATTGCAAGTGATAAAAAAATATATATGTATATATATTCAAATCCCTATTTGGGGTTCGTGGTAGCAAATGAGTTAATTTAAGACGATGTAATATTTGTCGCACGCTTCCCTCGATACCCACGCTGTGCCAATGCGTTTGTTCACGACCACGACCGAGCGCGGTTCAGAACCAACGCTCTCGCGGTTCAGCGCGCGCTCTGATTGGCCAGTGTTTTTCGTTAATAATTCAAAAACGAAGCTTCAACCAACATTTTGGTAAAGGAAAAAGTTGTTCAGAATCACCCCAGCAACCCCCAATTTTCGGGTGTTACGCGAGTTCCGGGACACCCTGTATACACTGCATTGAATCACGTGGGAGAATGTATTTGACGCAGAGTAGGTGTTTCTATCGATCTTCGAAACATGTACAATCACCATCGATCGCTCGATAAATCGCGTTTGGGTATCGACTTTAAATTGTAATCTACAAAACACTATTAACCAGATAGTGATTATAATTATTAACTAAATAAAAGCATTCGAGTAACAGAAGTCGCTTAAATATTTCAACCTAAATAGATACCGCGAAAAGAGAAGATGAATAAGGGTGGGGAGAAAGTTTGCACAGCAGGTTAATTAATCACTTAATAAACTGATTTTTTAGACCAACTCTAAGTCTATATACTTAATAACTATCTGATTTGAATAGTAAAGCAGACATGAATCGTTATTTTCCTTTAATTGCTCTATTTCGATTCAACAGTCCCATAACAAGTGGAATCGCTCGATAACCATGCGAGAATGGTCGACAGACACCATGCGGTTCTTTCTCTGTCGCGTTGCTACTGCCACTGCTACCTCTTGCCTTGTCTTTCAATGGCCGGAGTATTGATCCAACTGTGCAATACCTACATATGTGTGTAATGTTGTAACGACCACCGTTGCTTACGAATCTCCCGTACCTTGGAACCGTAAACGACATTGTCCAAACTTGCTTTCTTAATTGTACCATGATCTGTTTGTATAATAATACATATTTTGTTATTATAACGCGTTGTAATAATTTATTTGTCTCTGTAATTTAAATACCGCTATAAACAAAAAAAAAAGGGAAAGTATAATTTTACACACACCTGGCTCCATACAAGGTGACTAAGTTCGAAATATAACACGTATATAATAAAGAAATAGAACACGTTTCGTTGGTTGGTTTTTAAAGTTGTCACTTAGCCCCTGAGAAGACGAATTTTAAACGGGTGTAATACATTAAATTAATAGACATGTTATTTAAAAAATAAATGGTTTAGCGAATATGATTCTTGTTTTTAAAATACGATATAAATACTTATACTTTATAATAAAAATTCGTCGAATTATCAACTGTACAAAACTGCCGTAGGAAATATGAATTAAAATGAAAAAGAATACTTAGTAATAACACGCGTCCATTTGCGTCCATGACAACGGTTCTTCAGTCTTAAGATGCACAATGTTGCAGATCCAATACAGTCAAGTATCATATATTAAAGCTAAGGATCTCTGAATCGTATCAGAAAATCGTTCTGTTTAGAAGTTAATGAACCTTTTTACGTCTGATTATCAGAAAGATAATCGATACGATCGCGTGGAAATATTAGCTAAAAGATCTTCGATCTGAAATGATTCAAGCGTATCACGAGTCCATTCTTACATATGATACACCAATGCATTGATCACAATTCAACGTTGTTTCCACTTCGACGGACATAGCGACTGAAGTAGTCGGGACGCCAACATTTGCAACTACCCGGTACCAGGAACCAATCGTAATACAGCCTTACCTGCAACATAAACATAAATTATGATCAGTTTAATAAATTCAAAAGTAGCAGATTGACACCCGTTTGATGTTCTCTGGTGATCACCTGGAAGCATCCCATTTCATCAACACCATCGCAATGATGCTGCGAGCCACTGTTGCGAGCTTCGTTTTCACCGGCACGCTTCTGCAAATACTGTTGATAGTTTTGGAAATCATGAACAGGCGGTGGCGAATCAGCGCCATCCCTCAGACCACTGATCCGTGAGCCTTGATTTTCTTCCAGGAATGTATCTGGATAGAAAATCTCTGCGACGAGTAGGCTTGTCCATCTTGGTGACGACAGACAGCCACCGTCTAGGTAATGACACCTCGATTGCCTATGAATCAAGTCGACGAGTTTTAGCATACATAGTACTCAAAGACCAACTCTACAACCTTTTCCTTGAATTATGGTTCTTACATGCATCTGGTAACTTCTATAGTTTGCGTGAAATAACCCTCGTAAGGTATCTGGACCACGTAGCGCCAAACTCCTTGATAGTTCTTGGCGAAAACGGGTGTCGCGTATTCTACTTTGGCCGGGCAAGGAGTTGGTGGACCAGTGTACTCTGGCTTTTCCTGCGGCGGTGTTCGTTGACGATATTCAGGAGTAGACGGTTCGTCCCGACGTTCAGCCGCTGATGGAACCAATGGTTCTCCCTGTATGGCTTTGTAGAGCATGCAGACCCTTGGGTTTATAGAACAAGATAGTTTATAGAACTCGATTGATCGTACTGATACTAACGCATTGAACCGATGACTTACACTCCTCCGCCGTTCTCGCAAAACTTGCGACCATTTCGAATGGTATCCTGATTGCTATCCGAGTCGGATGACCGTTTACTTCTGCTCCGTTTTTCATCGGTGTCCACTCTACAATTGAGAATCCGTTAGAATAAAATATAATTTACAACGAAAGTTGTACCCATATTCCAGAGTTATGGATATGTATATTTTGTCAAATATCTACTTACGAATTCTGAGAATAGGATTGAACGGTGGCGACTTTGGGCAACGAGTCGTCAGCTTTAAGTATGGGTAAAGCTTTACTCAAAAATTTCAACGTGTGATTTTTCAACAGAGCACTGTAAACATTTATCGGTAACCAAATAAAAATATTTCTTATCGCAATAAATCAAAATGATTTATTATTAAACTTACAAAGGATAAGACGAACCGTTGAAATACTGATTCATAGGATTTCTAGGAATATAACCCTTGTTCAGATCCCCACAGATATTGTGCACAGATACGTAACCTTTTCCTTGCTTACCAGTATCTGTAAATTGTTTATACTCATCGATTGAAATTATAAATTACAGTACAGTCCCTGGTCATCGAATTAGGACCACGTACTGAAAATTTCACTTTTATGGCTATAATGGTATGTCATATATGGAAGATCGTCTTTGGTCATTCAAATTATTACTAAATACATTGATAACCAGGTATACATAGCATAGATTTGTTACTATTCTGATGAAAATAAAATTATGTGGGCTGCGAATGTTTGTCTGGAGTCTACTTAAAAGACTTGTTTACAACTCTCCAAGCACCACATTATCTGAGTTGAAAACAAGAATTACAGATATTTGGGAAAATAATGAAGATATAAATCATGATCAAGCAATCTATACGGAGCATGCCGGTAAGGATACAAGCTGTCGTCAAAGCAAAGGATGGAAATACAAGATATTAACATGAGTTAACAACGTTATGTACAGCAGAAGTGTATTATGTTAGTAGCTAATAAATTATATCGTTACAATTTGAACAGGCCTTTTAATTTTACGGAAAACGTGAAAAATGCTGAAAATTTGTAGTGGTCTTAATTCGTTTGCCAGGGACTATAGATCAATACTTCTGTTCGTTTTAAATGTACTATTGCGATTGTTAGAGTAATAAGTGGCACAAGTTTGATATGCATACCGTAACACTCTTTGTCACTGTCTATATAAGGTGGTGGCCTAACTTTAGGCGGTTCTGCGTTCGGTGACTTGACAAAAGCGTAATATCCTTCTGGAGGTTCGTTCGATTCTGTGGACGGATCGCTATAGTTTGCTTTTGATAGCTTCATTTGGTATTCGTTCGCGTAACACGAAACGCATAAAAGTATCATCTAAAAAGTATCATCAAAAACATATTCAACTGTAGGCATTTAGTGGAGGGGAAGAGGGTTTCGTCTTTCCGGACGCCTTTGGTTCGGGCCGGGGACCGCTAGGTGGCGGCGAGATGATCGGTGGATCAGTGTTCTCGCTAGCGGTCGCCTGGCATGCAGTTCGAATATACAGGGTGATCCTCTCGCAGCCGGACACAAAGGAACACTGGAGACAATGAACCCCTTGACCGCACCATAAAGAGGTCCGCATTGTCACGTGCCAGCGGGGACCTACCCGGGCCGAGACGACTCTGTGTGTCTTCATGGTACGGTCAAGGGGTTCATTGTCGCCAGTTCCTTTGTGTCCGGCTGCGAGAGGATCACCCTGTATAGGAGTTCCGAATTGCGCTATGATAGGTGTCTGGGGCAGGGGCCTCGCTGACGAGTCTGACAGACGATCCCGAGACGAAACGCCATTTTCTCTCCTCTCCTACACAACATTTAAATAATCTTATCCAGTTTTTATCCTCCTTTTACATTGTTTTATAATGGTTATTATAGAATGAAGCTTCGCTAACACCGGTTTATCTTTTAATCATACCAAATGACAACTGTAGAAATGACGAAATTACAGCAATTTAAAGCTTGCTTCCAATTGGACTCGGGTAAATATTTATTCTATGGTACAACTTATTTTCGCAAGAACGTGTTGATTAATCGTCCGTTAAGATCCCAGCGCAAATCAAGGCAAACATAATTAATACCGGTTGTGTACTATGTTTGGAGTAAAATCTGCTAACAAATGTTAAATCTTATTACAACAATACCAAATGTCTGCTTTCGATTATCAAACATTGGTCTGATCGCGAGACACAAATAATGAGATAGCTAAGTTCAGAATTAATTATTCAGTTATCCACAACAGGAAGACTCTTTCTTCCGTGACAATCAGATGGAATCCATTTTTATCCTCGAAATTCCTGAACGTTAAGCAGCCGAAAGAATGTAACGGCCAAGTGAGCGACGTGCACGCTTAGTGGGACAGTCAGTGTACAAGCCTATAGTCCCGGGTATTAATAGTCCACGGAGCGTGGACCGAGTACCGTTAAGACCGAATACGATACCACGCGTATCTTACTAACGGGGAATGCCTTGTAAGATCGAATACAACTGAAGGATCATCGACAGATCCATCAGTTCAAACAACATTCTATGATTCGATGATCCTGACTTCTGTCGCGATAATGCTAGACTATTGTGTAATATAACCTTTGTGTAATATATTTACAATGCTTGATAATCGCGTTTGCCTGGAATTAAATTGCAGATAAATATAATAATATTGGACGATGCTTGAATGGCACATTTTATCGAATACTCTAGAAGTGTTTGATTATGCACATGCATGCTCAATTAGCTTCTGCCTCGATGGATCATCATTCAGTTCGTTTCGTCGAAACGAAGCGACACACAAAATTATAAAAAAAGGCTGTTTTTCTTGTTGTGACGTTCATTACGCATTTGCGTAACGGTATTTATACCGGTTCCCAGCGATTACTGAATACGGGACATTTCTATCATAAGCATCGACTAACGTTAGAGTAATGAATTTATCTAATTTTTCCCGCTATTTATGTTGCCCCTGCACGCTACATACGGTTCTACATAAATTAATACGCGACGCTTCCTATGTCATCTTTGACAGCATCATGTCGTTACGTTATTGAATGAAATGTAACTTGAGTCCAGTGAAGTTTTTAAAAAATGATTTCTTGATTCTCTTTGATTGCAAAGTTTTTTTTTTTTTTTTTTTTTTAATAAAATGTATGGTATTACACGATTGAACCTATAATAACATAACAATGCAAAAGGAGTTGGTATTGTTTGTAACTTTGAAAAATATTTGTAGTTTCCATGAAAAAGAAGAACACATTAACACAAAATTTGTTTAACTTACAATAAATGTACGCAAGTCCATCGTGGTATTTTTTTCTTCTTGGAAATAAATATACAGAATTTAAGGACGGGAGCACTGATTCAGAGATGTCTGGTGACCAGTCGACGGTCATAGCAAAACTGAACACATTGAACCCGCGCTATGGTATAAGGAGCCACCTGCCTTCGGCCCCATACTCATCATCATCGAAGGTACGCACGAACCTCGTTGTATCTACCTTGTCTCAGCACACCTTTTATCCTCGTCGTTCTATTCGAAATACATACTTAACTACTTGTAAAATATACTTAGATTTAAAATTACGACCGAAACATCACAAGTTTCATTTCAGGTGGTATACTTACAAAATGATCTTAACCCTTTATTGCATGAATTTTTATGACGAGTTGAAAAAAACATATATGGATGTTAGTCATGAAGTGGTCATGAAATAAATAATAAAATTTTATTAGAAAGTTGCGCAATGTTTCCACTTGGAACCAACTCAGAGTCTTTAGTATTGTCTACTTAATTTACTATAGAACATTTGAAATTTAAGTTCACAATTGGGAACGGAATGCAATAGAGGGTTAAATTACATATCCTTTATTACAGTTTCGAGATTCTCTTTATATTTCTAGGAATTAGAGCAAACTGGAAGTAAAAGAGATTTGAAAGTAATAAAAGAGAAAAAAGTATTTACATTGTGGCGCGCCGCAAATTGTTGCGCACGCGCCGTATACTCGAGATAGGAGTGAAGATAGCGGGAAACGAATCGCAATAGACAAAGATACCAACAACCTTTATCCTTTTCTTCGAGCGAACGCTCATCACTGTAACTGTCGCGACATTCCAAGATAATCGTCACTTTCCAGATATAACGTAATCCCTGAACGAGTTTTGTTCTATCACACGGATGAGAGAACGCACATGGTTAATAAAAAAAGAAAACTAATCGATCAAAATTTGTACATACTTAAAAAAGTATCATGTTCTAATATCTTTAATTTACCAAATGTTCTGTGATTTAGATACAGTGGTACCTCGGTATACGACCTTAATCCGTTCCTGATATTTGGACTTATACCGGATAGGACGTATACCAAACCAACTTTCCCCATATTTTGTTATACACATATGATATCCTTACTTGTATGATCAGTCAGTTAATAATACATCAACTCCGAATATAATTGATTATTAATTTAATTTTTCCTCTGAGATAATTATTTAATAATGATGCAAAATTCACACAAAAAATTTGTCACGTCCAAACAGGACGTATTCCAAAGCAGACCTATACCGAGGTACTACTGTACTTCTATAGATTGCTATTGAACCAATATTTTCTAGCAGTTAGGTGACCTCTAATGCGAAAGAAAGATCTCGAGAAGCGAGATCAGAGCATTTCCGGAAATGCACGTCGCTATAGTAGTTGGTCAAGGTCATCAGCTCATTGAAGATCCTACCACGGCGAGTACAAAGAAGAATGTGGAACGGCAACCTGTCGATCTACACATTGGCGTATCCAGTTATTTTTTTATCTTTTAAATATATAAATACTTTTACAGGATCACAATGTTTATTTACCTTGTTTCATCGAATGATCAAACATGAATAGTTTATCTCTCGATAAAATTTAATTCACGATCCAAAGTATTTTAAGTGTAATAATAAAACAATCAGTCGATAAATTGTACGTTACTTACATTTAATATATTCCTCATGATACTTGTATTTCCAAAATGACTGGAAAATTGAATGAAAAATTGCGTCAAAGGTAAATACATATGCGTTTACGACATTGGTAAATGAATGTATCAGATTTACCGCTTGGAGCGCTGCAGGTCATTGATTCTTGGTGCAGCAGTCTCGTACAAAGAGGCGGCGATGGAGTTATTTAGAAAATAAAGGAAAAACAGTAACAACGACCTACTATTCAATGCAGTCTAGAAAGCTCAAATAATCTAGCAAAACCCGCACCATACAACATGGTGCTTTCTCATACTTTTATGTTATGATAAAATTATATTCACCGTATCAGTGGATGGTTCGAGAAAGGAGGAACCTCCATACAATACCCGCGACTAATCTGAATAAACATACAGCGGGGCGCAAAAGTATTCGCATACCGTTTAAAACAGAATACCTCATTAAAATTTCCGAAAATCGCAATTTTTCATTTAAGAACATCATAACTAGTCACGTTCTTAAGTGAAAAGTCGCGATTGGTCCAATTTTAAATGAGGTATTCTGTTTTAAACGGTGTGCAAATTTTGCGCCCCACTGTATAAAACGAAAATGGTGTAATTTGTTCATTTCTCAAACCTAGGCCTGTTTCTGTATAACTGGCAGTTTTTACTCTGTCCAGTCACGTGATATGTAATTTAACAATCTTACCAAATCTGCATTCATTAAAGTATTACAACAGAAGAAACGTGATTCCTGGGCGACTTTCGAAATTCATATTCATATTTTGCATCATCAATTAACCCATTCATTCGACGAGGTCGAAAATACATTATTTTTTCATATTAACAGGTTAATATATTCCAACCTATCAATATAATTATAGATTGAAGGTTAAGGCATCGTTGCAACGTATTTCTGTTATTCATAAGAAAAAATTATTAGAGCGAACGAATTATTAGTTTTTTAAATAAACGTAAAGAAAAAAAAAGCATTAACTTACCCGTGAACGAAACAGAACAAACCAATGAACTTTTCTCTTTGTTTCTTCGAGCGCATTCTTCGTAATGAGAATGAAAGGTGTGATACAGAAAACATCGTTGACACTTGATAGGATAGATGACATTTATTCCATTATTTTATCGTTATTACTTGCTACTTGAATGCTATACTCGTAATAGGTATCTATAATTATGTCGATAATTATGCGTGAATTTAAAGAATACGTGAGGTCAGCCGCAGAGATTTACAGCCCGTGTCAGTGTTACAATCATCGTACAGGTAAATACTTACAGAATGAAATTACGTTTTAATTTTTCAATGTAAACACTCGTAGAGGGGAGAGGGCGGTGGCGGCTCATCGAATTCCTAATTTTTTCTCTATCAAATTTCTGTA